TCCATTACTAAATGCATACAGAGTAGAGTATTTGTCTCTTACTACGAATCACAATTTACGTTCTGTATAACCACAATAATATTTATATGATTCCCTTATTCATACACTTGAAAAGGAATAGTTGATGATGCTACCAATACACTTTACTCCACCAAGCAGTAAATTACTTCTCATAATTTAAAAATCACTTGGTATAATAATTCCACCAATATTATTCTTTATGAAAAATATACTCATCTCCAATTATATATTAGGCAAAGATCACACCCAAATCCTTCAATATTTAAATCTATAAAAAATCAGTATATGTACTATTATACTTAATTAATGTAATTATTCCATCAGAAAATATAATTACCCCCAATAAACTATTAATAAAATCATCCACCAACCCAACATCATGTAAATAGTCACCAAATACAATATATTAATTCAAGCACCAAATTAAAATATTCTAATGTCCTCAAATACCGGAACGATTTAGTTCTCTTATTAAATTAAAACTAGCAACTAATTCTCAAATTGCTGCAAGGCACACATATATACACGCACTCATGGCATTCTTCTTCTTTTTATTTTTTTTTTTTTTATATGTATTCTACATTCAACACATATTAAAATAAATAGTACACTTACGAGTATTTGACTTCAATTTATTATTCATATGCCAACTTATCTTCTTACATACTTAAATTATATATGGACTATTATTTAATTCTCATAGAAGGATTTTGTTTTTAAACCGTCTCCGTGAGCATGCATAACTAAATCACAGTCTCTAAACGAACAAGATGCAAATTTTAATCATTAAAACACTTGACTTTAGGCTGGTTTGACTGAACAACGCTTGGAAGGAAAAAGCAAGCGAGGGAACAATTGTCAAGACATAACAGGTAATTACTCCGCAGTTACATCTAAACTTATAACTTATGCTCTGATACACCTTTGTCACGAACCCTGTTTTTCCATGAAGGCCGGACGGACTACACTAGGGCCCAGGTAAGCTTAAAGCCCCCGAGGCCCGTAGTAAGCCTAAATTATCTAATATGTCTACCTATCTTTTCCAATTTCATCAAAACAGTAAACCCATATACAAACATCTGGCCCAAACTCAAATAACACAATGTATAACCAGGGCCTATTCACAATAAGTTATAATCACGTTATGGGCTTACTGGTTCACCTGCAGCTAATTACCTAACATTTAATTTATAGTGTAGTGCTAACAATAAGTCCAATATTAATACTGCAGCTAATTACCTAACATTTAATTTATAGTGTAGTGCTAACAATAAGTCCAATATTAATACACAACCCTATAACTGCGGAGTCTAAAAATAATCTGATAACGGAATATACATTTATAACTCTGCGGAGAAGATTGCAGAGCTTCTGTCGAATCAGCTGCTTCCTAGTACCTGGGAGGTTTGTTGGGGAGGTGAGTTTTGCAACTCAGTAAATAATAATAAATAATACACATCACAAACAGTCACACAAATGCACCCTAGAATACTGGATGTACACACAGCAGTCAATCATATATATGACATTACATCAGCACCACAAACCAATATCACTCTTCAAATAATCACATCACTGTGGAATAGTCAGTTGGCTGTCACCTAAACCCCCGACGAGCCGTCCTCTCACAACAGGCCCATCCTTCTCAAACAATGTACCCGGGAGCCAATCCCCAGAATATATGAGCCGACCGGTCTAAATCCTCACTTGACCAGTCCTCCAATTTATTTTATTTTACATTCACTCTTTTTCTTTATCATCTCATCAACATCATTTCATCAATTCATCAGGTGCACACGGGGCGCCGATCTCCTTATTTACCGGGGCCGACGGTCTCCAATTTTCATCAATTCATCAGGATCCATATTATCGACCGTCCTCACAAACCCAGGGTGACCCACTGTCATCCTATACCTCCACACAAACAGAGACACAGTAGTATACACAAGAGCACAAATAATCAAACAATTTCCATATCATAATACACAATTCATTCCAAAATGACACCAATTATGCATAAGTATAAATATCAGTGAATCATAACATATATTTTTTTGAGAAATACATTATGTAAATAATAAAAATGTAATGTTATGCAAATGCAAAGTGTTGACATTGCATATAATTTATTATTACTCACAGTGAATGGAGAGCGAAAAGTTCTAGCTTATGATTCTGTCCTGGAGGAGCAACTAGATGGAACCCGGGGCGATCTACGCAAAAGTTTAGAACGACACAAAGACAAATAAATTCTATCAACAATTATATTCTTTTTTACCACTCTAAAATTTTTATTTTATATTTCTAACTCTTCTACGATAATTCTAATCTCGAGAATTTAATATTTTCTATATAAAATTTATTTTTCTACCGAACACATTCTTCTTTATTTTCTTTCTGACTTCATTTATTTACCTACCGAATTCATATTTATTTATTTATTTTTTTTTTTATTACAAATATACCGAATTTATTTATTTTTACCGAATATTTCACACGCGAGCATCTCCCCTACAAAATTGGATATCTACCTGTTAAAACATCAACAATTTCACAAAGTAATCAATCCATACGGACCCATCCGATCGGGCCAATGGGCCAATTAATCACAACAACAGTTTTCCCCATCCTGCCCTCTAAAAATATTAAAATAATTCTTTCGTATTCATATTAATATCAATATATTTTTTATTTTTTTTCTAACATCACCACACCAACTCAATTTATACACTTTACAATAACATTTATAATCTAAGCTACCTCTAATTAAAATTCAACAATAAAATTATAAAAGCTATTACTACTCACCATTTTACAAATTGAATTAACTTACAAATAATAAGATTAATTAATTTCATTATCTAACATTTCTAACATGAAACTTGCATAGATTAATATAAACAAAAATCAAAAAATTCATTATCTAATATTAATATCTAATACTAATTAATAAAACTAATATTTCATTATCTAAATAACATTTAACATAACACAATTAATGTTAATTATATTAATACTAATAAACATTTAACTAAATAACATTAACTAAATAACGTTAACACTATTAACGTTAATTAATTATGCTAGATCGAAATTTCTTACGCGAGTCGGGTAAAGAAGCAGTGACTGCCGGTGATCGAACTTGACTGGCAGTGGCGGAGAGAGGCGGAGAGAGGCGGAGAGAGGCGGCTGGCAGCGAGACGTGCAGCTGGAGCTGCTGCTATGGGCGCGCCAGACCTGACAGAGGGCCTGACTGCGCGATCTGTGGCGCTGCGTGAGCTAGGACAAGGCGGAACGAGCAACAGAGCTGCTCCGGTGACGAGCGGCAGTGAGAACGGCAGTGGCGCTCGACTGGAGCTGCTGGACAGTGGTGCGAATGCAGGTGCAGGGAAGAAGAAAGGTCCTCTGCTCTCGCACAAGAACGCAGACAAGGAAAGAAAAGGAAAGAAAGAAAAGAGAAGAAAGGAAAGAAGAAGAAGGAGAAGAAGAAGAAGAAGAAGGAGAAGAAAAAGAAGAAGAAGAGGGAGGAGAAGTGGCGGTGAGCGCATTGGTTGGCACAGTGGCGATGGAGTGGCAGGTGCCTTGTGAGGGGGAGTGAGTTTAGCGTTGGAGATAAATAGAAAAGAGAAATTTTCTAGATGGTTGGAGTCGAACCGTTCGATTCGGGTTCGATTCAGGCCCAAAATCATCCAGATTATTTAACGTTGGTTTTCAAAATTTTTCACATCGGTTTTTGGTTCGGTTTCTCCATAGTTAGTTGCACATAGTAGTTGCACTAAAATATTAATATTAATTTCCAGGCTGTCGGTTCATTAAATTTAATTGGAAAAATTTTGAAAATAAAAATTCGGGTTATTTCAGCATCAATATTTGATGAGAAGTGCATCAAAATGATGAGTTAGAGAGAGGTGCTTCAGCAAAATTAATTGAAGAGAGGTGCTTCAAATGCTAGATTAAAAATTTTTAATTGTTAATTACTATAATAAAAAAATATTATGTTTGAATTAAGAGAGAATGTTAAGATTAATTCAAAATAATATTACTAAAAATATTTTGAGATTTCAATTTTATTTAGTACAGATTTTCTGCATAGAATTTGATATTTTTGTTATTAAGATTAATGATTTTTAGGAGTATTTTTAGGTTACAACATTATTTCAATTTTATTTAGTACAGATTTTCTGCATAGAATTTGATATTTTTGTTATTAAGATTAATGATTTTTAGGAGTATTTTTAGGTCTTATTTAATTCACTTATAAGCCTATAAATAAACACATTCTTTTGTTAATTCAATAAAGTGCAAAGCATTGTGAATCATCCTGTGCATTTTCATTTTTCCTTCCCAAAAAAATTTAACAGTTAATATATACATACACATGGATTGATTCATTTCTTTGAAGGCAGAGGAATTGCTTTGCTTACGTTTATGATTAAAAATACCTTCATTTAAAAAAAAATATGGTTTGTAACTAATTTGGTGGATATTTAAAATTAAGATTTTAAATATTCAACCTTCAAACTTTAAAATTTAATTCTTGCGCTCTAATTAAAATCAATTTAGTTGTATCTCCTATAATAGGTGCTCGTACCATTAATTAAATTTTTTTATTAATTCATTTAAATTAAATATTAGCAAATCAAAATGCAACATACCATGCACCATTAATTGATATGGAGTTTATTCAATTTCATAAAATAAAATACATTTTTACAAAAATATAAATTTAGTCATTGAGCAGTTGTAATTTGGTAATAAGGCATAGTAGATTCAACACTTGAGGTTTACAATCTTGAAAAGATTTAGAAAAGAGAATTAAAATTTATATAAAAGCAATTTTCTTCCAAAAATAAACCTTAAGGCTCAAACAATCTTTTTTCGTCTGGTAAAATCAGAAACTGTAATTCAAACTTTTATTCTTAACCTTAAGAGGATTGATTTATTTTGCTTACCACCTTGTTGGTAAACTAAAATGAATATATATCTTAATAAAAATTCTTTAAAATAAAAAAAGAACATCCAAACCCTTCCATTCTCTTTTGCTCTGCAAAAACAAAAGAGAGTCGAAGGCCAAGTCTTAAAGACCACACACCAAACTCCGATGACAGAATAGGCCAACTACCAAAGTAAACTAGCTTAAGCAAACCCAACCTAAAAGATTTTCCAGAGATTTTGCTATATTCTTACAGAGGTATATCCCATTGATACTGATCCCTCTCTAAGATTCATCACTTAGTAATTGGATCACCTGCTGCAATATATCATCTCTAATAGTTCGCTTGACTCCATTAAAGCTTGTCAAGACAGGTTGTAAAAAAGGAACCATTTCTGGAAAAAAAAAAATGTAAGCTTCTTTCAAGGATTTTGTATGGACAAAATTAGCTGAAGACAAGCAGAGTGCAAGGCAAAAATTCAAAAGCAGAGGTAAAAATTTACTAAACATAAACAGAAATATTCCTGCTCTGAATCCTTATCTTTTACAAGTGCATATTGGAATGTTTGTCCAACATGCCATCTGAGAATTTTATATGTTTCGCTTAAGATAAGTTGCAGTAATCTCTACCAAGTTCAATTAAAGAAGAATTAAATCTATTTTCTCATACAAAGTGACCAATTACTGCTTATTGCTATTTCAGTGAAGTTTATTCAATAGAATTGGCTCAAATCTCTCTCCAAGCCATCCAGGAAACTTTAAAGAATAGATTATCATCTAACAAAAAGAACAGATTCAACCAAAAACTAAATCACCACAACAGAACTGCACTAGTAATGACCTGGAGATCTATAATCTAAAAGGGACATCCCTGTATCTAACAATCTATGCTGCTAAAGACTGCCCTAGAGATTTACCAACTCTGCAAAACCTTGCCAAAATCCAATCAATACATGAAAAAGAATTAAATAGAACAGCTCTTACATTTAAATCTAGCAGAAAATAGACATCCAAGAGCCAACTAAAACAAAAGCAGACAAACAGTTAAACAGCCAAAAAGCTATATAATATACGAGAATTGGATCTAGAGAAAGTAACAATCTTCTTTTTTTTTTTTCAACCTGAAACAAATAGATTCTGCCATAGCAGCAAAGGGAAAAAATCTCTTTGATAAAACAGTATTAATTTCCCTTGCAAACATTAAATTCAGATTCAAGTAAACAGAATCTAATCTCTAAAAGAGGAATGAATACTGCATGTGTTCAAAGAGAGAGATGAAGACGCCACCAAATTCTCTCGAGTTTATGAGTTTCAGTATCTCTATGATAACGGTATTCATTCTCTTCCTAAAATGGATTCGCTTGATTCAATATATGTAAAATACAATACAGAGAAAAAAGAGAAACCATTTTAGGAAGAGGAATGAACAACGTGCCCAGAGGGACGGAGATTGAGAGGCAGAAGAGGAGTTAGGGTTTTACGCTATTTATGGACAGCTTCCAAGTTGACACCTGACGAAAACGACGACGTTTAGATGGTCGAATCTGGTAAAACTCACCGACCAACCAACCAATCAATCCATTAGTTACGCAAGCTAGCCGTTACAAACTGCCAGCTGGTTGCCACGTCATTTTAGGTCGGTAGTCTTTTTCTTTTCTGCGTGGGGCCGAAGGCTGGTGTTCTTGCAACGATGCCGTTCTATATGGGGATGACCGATCAGAAATCCTACTCCTAAAAGGAGAAAGTGCAACGACGCCGTTTCCAAATATACAGAATCCTGAAACAAAACGGAGGAGAAAATTCCCTATATATTGCGCTTGGTCTTTGCACAAAAGTGCGTTGTGAAATCAGCAAGTAAAATATCACCATGGCTAGTAAACCTTTTTCGCTTTCTGTTCAATGCAAAGAACTAGAAGGCCACTTCGACTCCGTTTATTCCTCCATTAGAGAACTTTCTAAAGAGCTTGACTCAATGGAGCAATTGATGGTTGAACGTTACAGAGAACTTGAAGCGAAAGAGAAGCGCGTGGAAGAAGCAGTGACTGATAGAGTCAAGGATTTTGAACTCAAACAAAAGGGTCTTGATTTGAGTCGACAGTGGATAGAATTATCGGCGAAAGAGATAAATTTAGCGCAAGGATCAATGAGGGATCATGTTAAATTGCTTGCAGAGAAAGAGAAGCGATTGGAAATGATTTATAATTATATTAATGGGATGATTGACTTGAAGTTGAACCAGTTCAAGTTAGATGTAGAGTGGGTTAAAGGAGAAATTCAAGATTTGCAAGTTAATCTTCTGAAATTCAAAACTTGTGTTGATAATTTTAGTTGGGAGAGAGACAAGCTTGAAGCAAAGTCAATACTATTCGAATTGGACGAGAAGAGATTTCAAGAAAAGTCAGAAGAACTCGAGTTAAAGGAGGAGCGATTGGAAGAGCAATCTAAAAAATTTAGAAAGAAAGATGAGGACTACCAGAAAAGATTGGAAGAACTTGAATTGAGGGAGAAACAACTCGAAGAGCGCGAAACGCAATTTGAAGAATTTAGAAAGAAAGACGATGAATATAAGAAAAGATTGGAAGAACTTGAATTGAGAGAGAAGCAATTCGAAGAGCACAAATTTAAGGAGGGAACCAACCGGCAATCAAACAAGTTAAGTGGAAACAAGCGTGGTCGTTCGCAGAAGGTTCCATCAATGAAAGCTTCTACAACTCCATGGCCAGCGCGCGCACCCTATAGTCTAAGGGATACGACAATAAGACGTCGTATAAGCACTAGCTGATGTCTTATACCAATGTATGCATGAGCTAACTGTATTGCTTTTGCAGGTTTTATGTAAGTTGCTATAATAGTTGTACGAGGATTATTGCGTATTTAATCTTCATTCACAGGCTAAACTGTATCACTATTGTTAGAGGAAGCTCTTGCAGGTTTTGTTTTGCTTTTGATAACTGTATTTCTGCTATACTAATTACAGTAATAATCATCAGGAGAATTCCTGTTCCTGTGTCTTGTTTCTAATAATATGAATTTCTTAAATCACCATCATAATGATGAAATAATTAAATCATAAAGATTTTCAATTATGATTAATGATTTAATTAAATGAACCAACAATTTATAGGGAAAAAAAAGAGTGGAAACAATAATTTTATAATGAAGTGTGTGCTTTCTATTATTAAATAAATCAATTATATTTTTAAGTTAATAAGGGTGACAGTCAAAAATATTACATATAGGCAATTGAGAAAACGAAAAAGAAAAAAAATTTGCAGTGGACATGGTCTTATTAGACCGGAAATTTGATAACAATCTCAACGATAATCGCATTAATAAGCTGAAAGTGAGTTCACCGTCCATTTCACACTCGCGCTAACTACACAAAAACAAGGTGGCGTTGGTTGGTTGGTCCCGCTCAAATTAACGACCGTAATCACAGGTACACCCCTCGCGCGAATTCGGGATTTCTAAGCTGTTATCCATAATCTCTCCCTCTCCTTTCAATTCTCTCTGCTTCGGTTCCTTTTTTTTTTTCTTTTTATTGTTTCTTTTTTTCTGCTTGTGCGTTTAAACGATTCAAATTGAAACAGTTGCTGTATTTCTCTTATTCCTTGAACGTTTTTGGGCTGTATACTTCAATCTTTCTGGATGTCCTTAGATTTTGTTTTATGAATTCTTATTTGTTCTTTTTTTTTTTTTTTTTTTTTTTTTTTTTTTGAAACTGTTGGAGAAAAAAGGTTTTTTTTTTTTTTTTTTTTTTTATTCTGAGGAAAATGGTATGAAGTTTTTGCAAGTGGGTTTATTTTAATTTTCTTTGTTTTTAACTGTTTTGTTTCTACCTAAAATAGTGGCTGCTGCTTGTTGTTAGAAAAATTTTTTTTTTTTTTTTTTTTTTTTTATTCTGAGAAAATTATGAGTTTTTGCAAGTGGGTTTTATTTAATTTTCTTTGTTTTTAACTGTTTTGTTCCATACCTAAATAGTGCTCTGCTTGTTGTAGAAAACAGAGGAATTTTTTTCCAGAATGTCCTTGGCTTTGAAAATTGGTAGCTTTTATTCATCTTTTCTATTTGTTTTCTGTAAAGAACTTTGTTTTGATATTTTGGTGAAAACCATATTCGCCATATAGTTTTGGTGCCTGAGATGAAAGCTTCAGTTGGAGAGGTGTATTTTTGTGCAATTAAAGTGAGTGATAAAAGAAGGAATTAATTTTGCTAAAAAACTGGGCACTTGATTTTAGATTAAAGGGTTTGCTTTACTTATTTTATGGCAGGATGGGAAGGGTCAAGCTAAAGATAAAAAGGTTAGAGAGCACCAGCAATCGACAAGTGACCTATTCTAAACGAAGGAATGGGATCTTGAAGAAAGCCAAGGAATTGTCCATATTATGTGACATAGATGTTGTCCTTCTCATGTTCTGTCCAACTGGAAAGCCTACATTATTCCAAGGAGAACAAAGGTGATTAAACAAAAACATGTTATTCAACATATTATTCATATTACTGGTTAGCTAATATTTGAATGAGATGATTTTTCTTTCAATTGTTGGCTGTCTCTATTGTGAAGAAGTGTAAAGAGGAGCATGTTCTCTTGTTCCATGTGCTAAGACTGGGTGAATTATATTTTAAGCAGTTCTTGCTAGGTGATTTTGGTGTAAATTTATTAAAGAACATTAATATAGGAATGGATGTTGAGGCAACTATGGGAGCTTTAGTATTGTTTCACTAAGTGTTATTAAGAATTTTTGAACATCTATGTTTAAATAAATCTCACTTTCAAATGCCTCAGAAAAATAAACACAGTATAAATACTAATATGTTTTATCTCTTTAATTTTCAGCAATATAGAAGAAGTAATTGCAAAATTTGCTCAATTAACTCCACAGGAAAGGGCAAAAAGGTACCAGAACTCTCAAGGAAATTTTGATCCTTTTCACTTAGTATTTTAGTTGAATTAGAAAGGCTATAAAGCTAACAGATTTTCCATTTAATTGTAACCAGGAAATTGGAGAGCCTTGAAGTAAGATTGACTACGACTTATCCTCTGAAATTCCCTATTTGTTGAAATGTTATAGTTAGTACATATTGAAGCATCAATATAATGTCTTCTTCAACTGATGCAATCAATTTGGGTTCTTCTTGAGAATATAGGCATTGAGAAAAACCTTCAAGAAGTTTGACCACGACGTTAATATGAAAGAGTTCTTGGGTGCGAGGTATTTGATTATTTTGGGCAATTCAGTGAATTTTCAGTTAAAGGTGTGATTTGAATATCAATTTTTTTCTGTCCTTGCAGCATTCAGACAGCTGAGGTAAGAAATGGTTACCAATATTCTTATCATTTTTGTTAATTTTGGATTCTCATGTAACCATCAATCTCAAATGTGTTATGAACAGGAGTTGACTGATCAAGTTAGGCTGGTGCAAGAACAAATTTCAGAAGCACAGAAGAGACTGAGGTGCACCTTCAAAGATTTTAATAATTACAGTTTTCCTTTCTCTTTTATGGTATTGTTGATATTCACACTCCATTTTCTAGAGATGACATGCAAGATGCAACAAAGGGTAGATATCTTTTAGATTGCATGATTTCTAAGCTTCTTTAATGTTGCTTCATTTTTAAACATCAGGCATGTATTCATATTTTTATGCACTGATAAAGTGATAAGAGCTATAAAGCTTTCAGAATTTTGCACGTGATAAATCAACTCGAGAGAAGTACAACATACATTTACCTGTTTTTCTGTTGTGATTGTCTTGTCAATATGCGTGTTTATCTTATGAATCTATTTTATGGTTAGTTTTTGTTTTTCATTGTAGCAACCAGACATTGTAGTTAGAGGATATTATACTAGATCTCTGTTGGGATGCCAAATTTAACCTAAAATGTTGCAGGTAGCTTGTAAATCTTGTGTTGTCTCTGCCAACTTTGTAAATGTTGTTTTGGGTTACCCCAATATCTATGCTTGCATGTCCGATACTTATATAATTGCATATGTAGGTATATGTATAAAAACGGCTTGTCTATTTTCAGTTTATAGGAAGACAATAAGTCTTACAGTTTCATGCCATTTTTTCAGCTATTGGAGTAACCCTGACATGGTTGATAGCATACAACATCTTGGGCAAATGGAAGACTCTCTGAAAGAATCAATTAACCGAATCCGCCTGCACAAGGTATGTTATATGCTCTCAGTGTTTGATCATTGATCATGTGGCTAGATATCCTTGTTTAAGATAGTTTATTCTAAAGACATGATTAGAATTGCGGAGACCTTTGAGATTGAGTCCATCTGGTATGATGAGTTTCAGAACACTCTCCCAATTTATAAATAACCTGTCCAAATTACTTCCAGCTATTGACAAATCCTTTTGGTCTTTCTCATTTAGCGTAACTCGCCACCTTGTGTGTATCACTTTTGGAAATGTATGCTATGTTCCTAAAATCATAAAACATACAAATTATAATTGAGATGTCACGGATGTATTGTTCAGTCTTTTGTGACAGCAGTTATTTGTACCACTTAATTATTTTGAGTGAAGTTAGAACTGTTATTTCATTAATTCATTTTGCCCACTTTTAGCAAGATCCTTGGAAGTATACAATAATGCGAGGATATTATATTCTTAAAGTAGTTACTTCTGCTGGCAGGAAAATTTTGGGAAGTGCCAACTTATGCTATTAGAATGCCATAGCCAGTTAATGCACTGGCAGTGAATTTTTTAGTCAGTTGGAAAATCTTATTTGTGATTATCTTGCCTCACAGTTTCAGAATGGATTGGCCTTACCTTTGATGATGAATGGCATGCAAGATGTCCAACCACTATCATGGATTCCGAACAATGGAAATCAAACTATGATGTTATCCAATGAGCAAAATTTTTTGCAGAAAAGGTAATTATATCTCACTTTTGTATCTGAGGATTCAGCGTCCCAAGGGCCTTGTAATCAACATATGGCTGAGTGATCGTCCTCCTGAAAGTAATTTTTTTGCTTAAATATAGATGAAATTCCCAATAAGTACACTACAAACCATTGTTGTTAACATCTCTTAATTATTTTGGCACTACTATCTGATTCCTTTTAACATCTGTCATTCTTTTTCTTCTTCTTTACCCACATAGAACTTACCTTGCAAAAGGATTGCAATTTCTTTTATTTTTTCTTGTTATCCTATGGTTGAACTTTTCTGTTTTCTACAGAGAGGTGGAAAGCTCAGATGCATCTCTTCCAGGCTATTCTGGTTACTATAATACTGGCAAACAAACGGAAATTGGAAATTCAGGATCAGTTGAGAATATGGGACAGGAAGGTGGTGCATTGAGCAATTTAAGCAGCAATACATCCTTAAGTGTGCAACTTGATGAGCAATTCTCATATCCTCCATATAGTAGTTTAAATTTGGCATGTGTTGAGAAAGTGAAGCCTGAAGAGCAGATGAACCCCCAAGGAAACCATGTTGTTTATCAAGTTAATAGTAATTTTGAACTGCCTAGACCTGTATTTGATAATGGGCATCATAGTTGGGTTTCTGCATCTGTGCCATGCTGCGTTGCAATGTTTAATGAAAATCCATACAACCAGGTAGCGTTTGTTTTTATAATCAATTCATTACTTTTTTTTTTCCCCCTTTTTTCCTCTTCTTTTGCATGGGGTAACCATAAATAAGAACAAAGCTATTGTAGTTGATACCATCATCTATTCATCAGTTAACCTTTTTGTGAACTGATGATCATAATTGTATTACTCGATTGGCTAATTTCTGCTTCTCATTTTCCAGGAAAGCTAGTATGCATTGGAATTTTTGACTCTTCACTTCATTTCATGCAGCAATCAAATTGACTCGTGTGTGAAATTAACTTTTATTTTCCTCTGGTGGGACGAGCGGCTGCTGGAAGAATCAGTAGTGTAATTTTATGATATGTTTTGTACCAACCAGGAAGGTTTTAGGACAGGATTTTGATGTATGCGAAACGGATAAACAGAAAGGTTGAGATTCATCTGGATGTTTTCAGCCATCCAATGTGTTAGCTTGTTAGCTGTATATATGATATGTACATGTTTCATAATTACCAGATTATATATTTATTTCTATGTTCTGTAATCATATTTGTAGCTGGAAAGAATTTATGGCTTTAGTCACCCAAGTTGTAGATCCATGATTTTGTGAAAATAAGACCAATAAGAGAGCATTTTAGAATTTATTATTCCCAAGCAGCTAAAACTATATTTGGTAAGCAGTAATGAAATATTATGTAATGCAATAAAATGTATTTCTGATGTAAAACACATCAGATTACATTAGAAATGCATTTGATTACATTAACACTGCGTTTTATCATATTTTACCAAATGTAAGCTAAGTGCTTCCATATTGAGGTTCATGCTTGAGAAGTAAATTAAGATTATAACAATAGTAATAAATTAATAATATAAAAGGCATCTTAGTTCTTCTGTACATTGAAAGGTTGCTTGTTTCACATTAATTCTCATATTAACCTCATTCAAAAACCATATATTCATGGTTACAAAAGCAGGAAACAGGACCCCATTTCTTCTCTAATGAATTTAGTAACCCCTTAGTGTTTGGACAATGGTGTTGTGCCATGGGTCAGATAGGTGCTGCAATAGGTTCTCAAATGGTCCTTTCCCTGTCACATTATGTTGAACCACAAACCCTAGGAATGCCAACATTGCCAATCTCCCTGCAAATACAAGACCCTCTTGGTCAATAATTTAACTTCTATATGTAGTTTAACAAAATATAAAATATAATTAATTTATTAATTACCATTAGCAAGTTCCTTCTCCTTGGCCTCAAGAGTGGGTGCAAAGTTAAGGGGGTTAAAGATACCACCAGGGTAACCACATTCATGTGGAGGCAAGCTGTATTGCTTGAAGATAGGATCTTGGTTGACACATCCTGGGTTCTTGATATCTTGCCATCTTCTAATCTCCACATAATGGAATAATATGAACTCAATTACAAACAAAGTTGATGATGATGCGAAGTACTCTACTTTCCCTGCATCGTACCACTGAGGAGCGTTAATTATTCCAATCTTTGTGAATACCTCTGGTAATAGCATTCCTGCTACACCTAACATTGCCCATCTTCCGTTCACAAGCTCTGCCTGGACAAACCATCTCAGGTTCTCTGGGTCCTCTGCTAGTCCAAGAGGGTCAAACCCATTATCCCCTGGAAGACTGGACAAGGTCACAAGGTTTCAGTTAATGAAAATGCCTCCGATGATAAAATATATAGAAGTTGTGTTTATGCTTGATTACCTGCCGTTGAGGTAGGCTGGAGAGGGCAAACCAGGCAGCCACTCGCCTTTCTTGGCCTCGACTTTAAAAGAAGATGATGTCGTTGGTTTAAACGACACTTCTCTGTTGAGTTTATTAGGAGACCCACTCAAAAACCTCGATCTGGATGCACATGGCCGGAACACGGCGGCAGACGCTTGAGTCGTGACGGTGGCCATACGTGAATTCCGGTGAACAAATCTCAGGTGTCAGTGAGGTGTATGTAGGTGGTGTAAAAACTAATCAATTGTCGACGCCTTTGTATTTCATTCGAAAGGATGACTTGTGGTTCTTGATGTTCCTTAAAATTTGACGGTTGATTTTGTTGATTTTATTGATCCAACGATTGATAATTGTTTGTGGGTTTTGGATTGGCCAATGGGAGTACTCGAGGCTTATCCTTTTATCTTTCTACCATATCCACGTATCTATTTCTTCTTCGCTGTTGGCAGGGATTGGATCCTGTGGGACCTTTTCTGTCCACGTGGGAAGATTTTTAAGTTTGATTTGATGTTGTAATCTCTTACCACGTGGAATTCTATAGCCAATAGCTGATTGACAAGTGAGTCGCCATGTTACATCTTAGCAAAAGATATCCAAAAGAAAATAGTTGCCGGTTGCTATCAGGCTTGGGTTGGGCTTTATTTTTATTGAGCCTGGCCTGCCCCGTTTTAAACTCAAAAAGAGCACAGAATTCAAGTATTCAGTTGGCCCAATCGGGTACCCAGGTGTTTTGATTAGTTTTTTTTTTTTTTCTGATGAAAGGAAAAGTTTCCAATCTTCATTAAGACAAATGATAAAATTCAGCAATACTATTGGAAATCTCATCCCACACTCGGAGTGAATAGATGTTCTTGCAAGCGAATGAATAACCATATTTACTTGTCTCCTAATCCATTTAATTTTAATATCAAGCCTAGAACTTAAAAGTTGTTTACAATCGAAAAGAACTAGACCAAAAATAGAAGAATCTAAAGATCTAGAATTCGAAGCCTGGAACACAATCTGTGAGTCCGAAAAAATAGTCCCATGGCCATGAAAGTTGGCACAAATAAAAATCAAACACTCCCTCAGAGCAAGGATCTCCACCAAGGCAGGGTCATTTGGGCCTTCAAAGTACCCAGATTGGCCACGTATGTATAGGCCTTCTTCAATTTCAACCACAAGACCATATCCTACAAAATCTTGAGCTGCAAAAATAGCTCCATCCACTAGGCTGTACCATCCATCCTCGACTTGGGCATGTTGAATACCAAAAGAGACCTGTTCGCTTCCTTGAACAGAAGAAAGAACAGCAGCATTTATCGGCGGTTGCCGCTGGTCATGTCCTGGCGTCACAAAAGGTTGGCTATGCGCCAAGCTGAGTGTGCTGCTAGCACGATGTTCCTGATTTACCCTCCATTCATTGATTAGTTGACAATACCTGAAAGTTGATCTCTAAAAAGATATTATGATTTATTTACAAACTTAAATTTAAGTACATATTTATTTATTATTATTCCAAGTGGACCTCATAACAAGACTTGCAAATTTCATTCTAAAATTTATGTTGAGCTTATTTAGACTCGGCTATGCAAAATTAATTATTTTAGTAACCATTAGCCGTAGTAATAACGGTCACTATTTATTATTTTGTTAACATTTTATCAAATATTTATTTTTCATAATCAATTTTTATCGGTTGTTTTTTCAGTGGTAAATTAAATTTCATTTATTTACTTACGTTAATATAGACTCGGCTATGCAAAATTAATTATTTTAGTAACCATTAGCCGTAGTAATAACGGTCACTATTTATTATTTTGTTAACATTTTATCAAATATTTATTTTTCATAATCAATTTTTATCGGTTGTTTTTTCAGTGGTAAATTAAATTTCATTTATTTACTTACGTTAATATAGACTCGGCTATGCAAAATTAATTATTTTAGTAACCATTAGCCGTAGTAATAACGGTCACTATTTATTATTTTGTTAACATTTTATCAAATATTTATTTTTCATAATCAATTTTTATCGGTTGTTTTTTCAGTGGTAAATTAAATTTCATTTATTTACTTACGTTAATATAGACTCGGCTATGCAAAATTAATTATTTTAGTAACCATTAGCCGTAGTAATAACGGTCACTATTTATTATTTTGTTAACATTTTATCAAATATTTATTTTTCATAATCAATTTTTATCGGTTGTTTTTTCAGTGGTAAATTAAATTTCATTTATTTACTTACGTTAATATAGCAAATTTGCTTTTCTACAACTAATCAATAACAGAATCAACTAGAAAGAAAAAAAAAAAGACGGCGGGTGCTAAATATTACAAAATTCTGATATATATGACGCGAAATTTATTTCGACTATTTCTGCTAAATTAATTAATTGGTTTTTTAAAATTTATATATTCAATCTATTAAATACCCACCTCCGCCAAATTTCCAGTCTGCCTTTTCAAAAGCTAGCAGAACATAACAGAACCTAACCCTCCAACATGTTCAAATCTAAAATATCAATTGAAAATGTGCTAATTTAAAACGAGCTCATTTCCCTTTTTGTTTTTTTTACCTAAATTAACTAATTATTATCATTTATAGATTAGTTTTAATTTTTTAATCAGAATTGTAAACCAGTGAAGGTTTGACCAAAGGACCATCCAGCAGGAACAACATTGTTAGAGACGACAGTCCTTCCATCACTAGTTGTGACCTTAAATGACAGGCGTTGACCATTAAGATATGAATTGCTTTGCCAATTTTGACCCCAGTTTCTTGACATGGGTTGCCAATCAGTTCTTGAACCTTTGACTGAAACTGCCTGAACATCTCCTGCACCACCAACGTTGGTGATCAAGACTAGGTTAAAATATGAGTGTCCATTAATGGTGAATCTGATTCCTCCTCTCCTTTGGCAGGGTACCCTGTAATAATAATATCACATAGCAGAAAAGAATTAGGGTCTTTTTGCTATAAGGAGAAATGTTAAAGCACTAGTTAGAAATTTGCTTACACAAGGATCCAAACCCACTTTTCTAGATTCCCATATAGTGCCAATAATTTAATAGTTAGGACATGCATACCTTCTGTAAGAGACAGGCACAATCCCTGCTCTGTACTGAGCAATTCGTTGGAAGATAGGCTGAGAGAGATCGAAATGATGCTGGGGAGGGTTGCACCAGCCCCCAGCATTATTAGGGAGAGCATTATTGGGAGGGCAGAAATTGGTGGCTGTGACCACAATAGAGCCAGGCAAGCACCACTTTGGGTCATCTGTACACTTTATTTCAAAACAAGCACCACAGCTGAAGCCATTGTTGAACAAGGCTGTGCTTAAAGCTGCAGTGTTTGTTCCATATCCTTGGTTATATAGGTTTCCGTACCCACAAGCCCCACCTGCAATTAAAAAAGAAAGTTATAGTTTCTGTGCTTGTGTGTCTTTAATGAAAAACTAGAATGAGCCAAAAGGGATTAATTAAGTGCAAGACATACCCATTGTACCAGAAGCATCACCACCTCCGTAGAAGGTAGCATGAGCATTAACCCAACCACCATTATCCCCAGAAACAAAAGAGATCAAAGAAAGAAATCCCACCAAGAAAAGCCCAGAAATTAATGCCATTTTCCAATTTCAAGAGAAAGAATGGTGTTTGACGGAATGAGTATGGGAAGAAGAGGGGGGGGTGAGTGGGAATTTATAGACTCATAAAGGAAGCATAAAAGTTTTCCCTTAGGCAAAGGCAAACGTCAGAAAAACAAACTGACGCAAATAATATATTGAGGTGCGAGGACCTTAAACCGCCAAGTGCAATCGAGTTATGAGAAGTACAGCTTTTTTTGAACCCACGTGGGTTTCTATGTGTCATTTTGCAGGAAAAAATATCATCTATTCTATGTTAATAAGGATTTCTCTTTTACTTTTAGGCCATATGGGAATGGGACGGTGGCAGGATTCTCGTTTTGCTTTAGTACTCTTTCTTACTCTGGTAAAAACGCCATCTCAGGATCTCACAGCTAACAGTTCAACATTTTGCTGCGGCCTAGTCTACCTTTAACAATGTACTGCAAGTCTGCAATTTGCTATTTCAACCTGATCTCCTCTTCTATATTAAATTGTAAAAGAGCCAAGGTACTGAGGGAATTTTGTGATGATGGATTACTGCCAAGAGAGGTATTTTAAATACAAAATACAAGCAAGTAAATCCCTAAAAAACTGGAAATACAACAGATGGATAATACAATTTCAAACTCTACAACAGATAAATAATAACAGCCAGCGAAGGACTTGGTCTTCAAGTGATTTGTCTAACAAATTGATCTGTGCTAGATCTACCATCAATTTAGTTTCAACATTCACTCATTCTGGACGTAGAAATATTTTATTACTATATTTAATTTGTTTTTAGGATAATACTTTTATCTTTAGTTGTTAAAAACAAAAAGAGGGCAGGAGTTGCAAAGTAAAGAAAACGCATTATATATTCACTTCTACCTTAAGTAAAGTGCAGTACATTCTCCTCCATGGGTTCAAAGTTAAGTTCTTGTTAAAGGACATATGTGAGGTGGTGCACATGCAGCAGATACAAACGTGAAAGGTCCAAAATTAATTATAATAATTGACTTGCTTTATATATATATATCCAGGAAGTTTTAATAGTCTCCCATCATAGAACATAAAGATTTTTAGCCTGATTGACTTGCTTTTATATTAATGCAGAGTTGTGAGTTGGTGAAGGTGAAACTATCTCAGATTAGGTGAATTCGAAACAGCAGCTTTAGGACCGACCAATTGTCAGGGATTAAGAGTATGAAATGAAACTGATAAGAAACAAATTTGATTGGAAATTTTGACCCATTTGTTTAGTTTTAAAGAAAATGTTAAAGCGCTAGCTTTTTTCTCATTGAATGAATGTTATCTGCTGGCTCGCAAAGAGAAAGAGAGAGGCAGCTTCGAGCACATGGGTGATGTATGCATTGTTGCTGCCATATATCACTACAATACAAAGGACCATCAACAGCTCAATCGCATTTATTCCATGTCATCTTATTGGCTATTGCTTCTTCAAATTCTGAAAATACTCGTAATTGAAAACTATGTATATATTATTACAATCTAGATTTAATTATTTTTTTAATCCTCAGTCCTATCTTCTACCACCGGAATTGAAACTAGTTGCCTTTTCGGTGCATTTCTGTTAACTGTTATTGTTTCTTGTGTGTTATTCAGTTGTAGTAATGCCACTTGCTTCATTGGGTAACACAAAAACAGTTCCATACCCTGTAATATTCTTATTATAAATTTATAATAAAAAAGTAAGATAAGAATAACGGCCGGCAAAAGCTTGAAATATGATTTTTAATTCCTTGGTAGTTGTTTGTAGTTTGCACTCTTATTCCAACATCAACTATTATTGAATAGCATCAAGAAACACTTATCTAATTATATAATTAATTAAGAATTCAATATAATTAGCATTACCCATTTTAATTATTTAGTTTTGATTAACGAATAATATATATTTAAGTTTATTTTCTAAATGAAAATTGCATAGCAGTGCCACTGGATTTAGCAGGATGTATTTATAAGCCAATAGATTGTAGTCAAATACTTGAAAATAAGAACTTTCAAAACTTGCAGACTGCCCATGTTCATTGGATAGCGTTAGTTCCCTTTTATAACATAGAATTTTAATTTGACTGAAAGAATTCGTCAGCTGCTAAGCTTCCTTCGGAAGAAGGTCACCTATTGAGAATTTAATTAAAAGCAAAAAAAATAAAAGAAAAAATACTACTTATTCTTTTTAAAAGTTTATCATTATCTAAAGCTTTAAATTAGTAAAAAGAGATGAATGAAAGAAAATCGATATTAAAAATGGGTGGAGATGCTACCATTTGGCCTAATCAAAATTTGAAAGCAACTCAAAGAGTCTTATAGGATCGAACACGTAGCTGATAACACAAATAAAAAGAAAAAGGAGAAGAAGAGGAAGAAGAAGAAGAAGAAGAAAGAAAAACACTTTCTTGGTTCTTGAAAACTCGTTTGTTTGCATTCTTCCTTCGTATTTTACTCTATGTTTTTCTTAATTTTGTAGTTGAATTCATAAAAATCAAAACCTAAGAAAGATCAGGAAAAAAAGTACAGTGCAAATGCAACTGATCCAACTGACATCTAACCTTCAAATGGTCCACATTTTCTGTTTATTATTTTTCCTTATTTTCTATCAAAGAAAAAACAAAATCATTCAAAAAAAAAAAAAAAAAAAAAAAAAAAAAAAAAAAAAAAATGGTCCACATTTTCTGTTTATTATTTTTTCCTTATTTTTCTATCAAAGAAAAACAAAATCATTCAAAAAAAAAAAAAAAAAAAAAAAAAAAAAAAAAAAAAAAAAAAAACCATAAATTAAAAAGGACAAAAAAAAAAAAAAAAAAAAAAAAAAAAAAAAAAAAAAAAACCATAAATAAAAAGGACAAGAAAGTGCAGTCATTGTTGATGCGAAGGAAGCAAATCAACAATAGAGAACGTACGTTATATGAAATATACATGTTCAACGGTGAATAACAGAGAAGAAATGTATAACATGAAGTCATCTTTGGTTCATTGAAATAAAGTCTTCTACAAAATTGTACAGTTCAAGAAAATGAAATTGTGATACAAATTCATATTATATCCTATTTTTTTCAAAACAACTAGACAAAAAATTTTTCAGGTCAGATTTTAAACACGGATGCTGAGTCCCTTTTCCTATGCAAATTTGAAATTGCACTTCTCCACGCGGTTTCATGCATTAAACGATATTATCAATATTAAACCAATGAGGTAATTCCGTATAAAAAAGCATTTGGAAGTCAATCACCGTGGTTTAAATTATAGGTGCAATCTTTGGGATCAAATTTTCAAGGATTAGTCAGGTTTGTGGATTATGTATGGAATCAAAATTTTCATTTTTACCATATGCATTATTCTTTGTCGATTAATTTATATCGAAATATGTATTATGTTATATAATTTGAATATAAAGACATAAAATTAGTATTTATTTTAAGATTATTAGAATTGATCACTTATTTATTGTCTTTCTTTAAAATATATATGTATATGTAAGAGCAATATACATTTATTAATAATATGAAATATTTTACATATCCACACATTTTTCAAGGATTAATTATAACTAAATTCTATAGACTTGTATTTCGATAATTAAGAAAAATATTAAAAATATGGAGATGCGGGGTATCGATCCCCGTACCTCTCGCATGCTAAGCGAGCGCTCTACCATCTGAGCTACATCCCCACATTGATATTATTGATAGAGAATTATTAATGTAAAGAGATAAGCAATATATAGAACGAAATGTCATTTTCATGAAAACCAAACATATGTAAATGATCAACATATCCGGAAAAAAGTTTCAAGCTGGAGATGTGAAACAAAAATAATGATTATTCTTCTTGTCTCATTACATGAATCATATATGGAGTCCAACATTTTATTGTAATGCTAAATTCCAATGGTGATAATTAAAAGTATAAGTTATTTGTCTTTGGCTTACAAATTAAAGTAATATATGGACAAAACATTCAAAAACACTTTACCTAATTTTTCAAATGTGCGACCCCTAATTTCCGGTGATGATGAACGGCTAAATTTCAATGATGGCTCATAGTTTAAAGGATTCCCAATTTGGGCTTTATTGACTAGAAGCAACCATTTCTTGACTTGAATTGATAGTAATACAACAATATTAGCAAGTGCAAAAATTTATGCATTATACCCAATTCCCTCTTTAATTAGGCAAAATTGTTTTGATCTTCCAAATATTTGCCTACCCGTTTGAAAAATCTTATCTTTAAAGCAAATTGCATTTTTGTTTCTATTGGAATTTATCGGACATTGTTTATCGCACACCAAGACAAAATTTAGTGGTAAATATATTACGACCTGACAATAGATTTAATTGTAAATCCCTTCTTCAATATTAAAAAAAATATATATTGCTTAAGCTAGACTCAAACACAAAAATAGTAAACGTATAATTATCCTAGTGTATATCTTTCCTTTATCATAACATGCATTCTTTCAACTTTAGTGTAAAGGGAAAAGAACATGGTCTAATAATTAAGATGCCTTTTTTTTTCTTTTATTTTTGGTATATGTGGTTAAAGATTAGCCGAATAAATTTTGACAAGAAAATTTTGTGGTACCGTAACATATAAAATCGACCTTGTGGCACCCTGAATTTGTTTTTATAATAATTTCATACCTTCTATACAAAAAAAAAAAGGAAAATATTAATTTAATATGTGGTTAATATAACTTTTGGAATAATAATTTTACATTTTCTAATTTTTCAAAAAAAAAAAAGGAAAATATTAATTTAATATGTGGTTAATATAACTTTTGGAATAATAATTTTACATTTTCTAATTTTTCAATAAATGTTTAATCGATTTAATTTTATAAGTTGAGGTATTCAATGAGTCAAATAAAATATTTAATAGATACAATTTTATAAATTGAAGAGTTCAACGCGTCAAAATAAAAGTTGAAGGTATCATAAAATTTTTTTATAAAAAGTACAAGGATGAACTTATGTATTCAGCTGTTAAAGATTTGTCTTTTCTTTTATGTGAATTAATACCAAGTCTCTCACATTGACTTATTATATTCGAGAATATTATTCTTATAATATTTTTTATTGATATTTAATCCTCGTTAAATGGAAACAGTTCATTAACTTTCTTCTATCTTTAATTAAAACTCTCTCCATCTGATGAAATTGGATCTCAAAGACTCTTATAATTAGAAGGAGATAAAAAAAAAATTAATCATACAAACTAAGCTTGCAAATGGGCTAATATATGTAGTTTTTATATTTTTTTAATTCGCTAATGAGAGAAATTTTATTTATTTTCTCAAGATATGTAATGTTTTAAAAGATTATAAAAGAATTTAAGAATTAGGTTAAAAGACAATAGGTTTGGTAACAATCAGAAATTGCGAACCCCGTTGGTGTTTCACGTAAATTGTGGACTTGTAGTGACATGTCTGTCGTTGCATGATAATGATAGTAGCGTGACCTACAAGCAATCTATGCAAAATCCATTACTATTTTGGAACTTCTTTTATTTTTGAGCTTGACTAATTAATAATATTAATTAAAAATTTATAAATACATGGTCATGGAGTCATAGGGGTCAAAGGCCCTCATGTGCATGTAATGTGAAACATGTATAATTATTAATTAATCCACCATGTCCATGAGATGTTAAAGGAAGGTAATGCCAAGTTGAGAAAAGATGGGGAAAAAGGAGAATAGATAAACTATGGTGAAAGCAACTTTATCCATTAGATTGTGATTTTATATATGCTCTTCTTTTCTTGATTGATAAGAAAGGAACTTCTTAAAAGAATTTCATGATTAAAGTTTGTTCTCTCTTTATCAACTGTGTATCAAGGTGTTGTTGCTCATAATCTTCAAGATTTTAATCAATTAGTTACTTTATTGTTACCATAATTCAAATTGTGTTCTTATTAATTTTAATGCATGTTATAAATTTATAAAAAAAATAAAAATCAAATTTAATAAGAAAATTAATTTATAATATTATCATGTAATTGTAAAATGGATGAAAAAACGTTTTGAAGTGAGAACTAAAACAGTATAATTAAACTTCAAATACGTATGTATTAGTTAATAATCTAATTTCTTGCCAATCATATAAGAAATCAGTACATCCTATTTCACCAAAAAAAAAAAAAAAAAAAAAAAAAAAAAAAAAAAAAAGAAGGGAGTTGCTTAAAAAATTAATAAAAATGGAAATTTATTAGTTCCTACGTTTTCTAAGCGATAAACAGTAAAATGAGATCTGGGTTGTTTTACTGATTTTAGGTTATTCTTCATCTGAGTTGCATGTCATGAAATTTGATAAAAACATAAATAAAAATTACCTAAAATAATTAAAATTAGATTAAAATAACTATAAAAATAAACCTATCAATAATCATATATTATTTTCTCTTTGTTTCATTTTATTTCGTTCAATTTCGTTAACCAAAGTTACAATCATAACAGTTGGATTATTTTTCAGTAGCTATCCACAGTCCAACTGTGGATTTTTCATTTTAGGAAAATGGAAGGCTAGACTGGAAGGGAGGTGCTCTCCTAGTCCCCTTCGCTTCTTGTCCAAAGAAATTACAATTTATCCATATGGATTGGATTCAAGCCCAATACTAATCAATCCATGTCTTTAATCTTAGCCGATGTGGGCCTAACGTGGCCCAACCAACTAGTTAAAAGGGCCGAAATATGAAACAAAATCAATACTAGTTTCTACAACCTAGTACTAGAAACTACAAACTACAAACGTTAACAGCAGTGGCATAAATGTAAATATCACAAACTCTAGAAAAACCCCCCTGAAACCCTAATTTTTGTGCCTCACCGCGTCTCTCCTTTTAGTATATAATCGCTGCAACACCAACAATTACTTGTTGCCTCCCCTCTCTCTATCTATGTCCTTCGGCTCTCCTCTGGTAAATCTGATCAAAGTTTTATTTTTCAATGGCTTTATGCTGTTTTTCTTATGCCTGTGCCTGTGATGGTGTTAAATATACTATGAGATTTCAATATCAATGAAAAGAATTTAAAGCTGAGGCATTTAGGCTCCTTCTTTCTTATTTGTTCTCTAATTGTTAAGAGAATGAAAATTTCTGAGGTGAGTAATTATCGCTAATTAGCATGTTTTTGTGAATTTTGCTACATTTCGTATTAGCAGTGTACGATTTTTGGATCTTTTTTTATTTTAATTTTACACATTTATGTGTGATGCAAGTGATGATAAACTAGACAGGGACATCAGCTATTCCTTCGGGAAAATGATGACTTAGTCTAAAATGGGAATCTCTCTGATGCATTATACATGTCATAATTTTGTTTTCTTATAATGCGCATGTTTTTGAGATTTCTTAGATTTGGAGTCTTTAACCATGGTAGCATTTGAAAAAGTTTGGGACTTCATCTGTAATGAGTTTTACTGTGCTGCAAGTGAATAGATGACTGATCACGGTTGATTAGTAATTGTCCACTTGATGTGCAAATTAGTAACCATTTTATGTGAAGTCTAAATCTTTTTAGTGGCATCTAAATTACCATGGTTATTAATTAATCTGAGGTTTCTGATATCTCTATGTCAATGTTCTCAAACGTTTTTTTTTTTTTTTTTTTCAAGTTTTTTTCAGTATATATTGAAGGTTATTTAGGATAAATAGTTTTTTTTTTTTTTTTTTTTTTCAAGTATATATTGAAGGTTATTTAGGATAAAATAGTTTGTGCAAATGATGATAAAGAAAGACAGGGACATCAGAAATCTGTTCGAGCATGATGATTGTCTGTGGGAATCTCTCTGATGCAAAATATAAGTTTAGTTAGGAACACCCGTAGTCTGTTGGAGTGATAATAACAGCTTATCATTTTCTACAATTTCAGTATGAAAGATATAGATTTGACAAACTTTAATACACTTGTTATGCAATCTTGTGCATGGTTTTATTTTGTTGTGTTTTTGTGTTAGCTTGATTTTAAGTTTAGAAGAAGGTTCAGATTATTATGATAAGTTTGCCTATGATGATATGAATGCACGTATTATCAGATATTATCTCATGATGATATCTATCTAATTGTCACTACCTCTGAGGCAAAGTATTCACTTGAACTTAAGATTTCTCGGTTCATGGTAGAGCTTTTGGATTAGTTAAAACAGTTGCCTGATATAGTTAGTTGTTGTTGCACGAGGTCTCCAGGGTTTTGCTTTTGTGGATTTTATCTGTATTTTAGTTGTATGTCAAAAAGCCTGATGATTATCATATAAGAACGGAGATTTGAACGATGGCAGTTGTAGTAGCTTGATTACAAATTGGGCTCCAACAGCATCAAGTGTAAAAAGCCGTCGACGATAGAATATGAAGGCTTTTGTATTTAGTTTAATATGTAGTTTTGGGAACATTAGAGAGTGGATGAAAGGCATAACTAACTAGTTGGATGTTGAAAAGAATTGTGAAGGCTCTGCCTTAATTTGATATATGATGAGGCAAATGAGAACAACAGCCTCTGTTCTATTGTATTCTTTTTGTTTGAGTTTATATTTTCCATTTATAGTGATGATGATTTGTCAATTCCATTTTGAATTTTTTTTTTTTACTCCCTAGTTTTGATTGTGCGTGGGTAACAAAGGCAATGCTATGGCTGTTATATTGAAATTGTTTACCGATGCCATAGTCTAAGCCAGACGATGCAAGGGGCTTCCCAATTTCAATGAAATCTCAATATTAATATGGATTATAAAAAATTCAAATTGAATTCTGATGATTTCACAGTGTAAGAAATAATTAGTAGACTTGTAAAGGATGGAAGTTATATTCAAGCTTCAAAATTTGGGTGTATATGCTTTTATAAATCTTTTCTTTTCTTTCTTTGAATGTTACTAATTTTACTAATAAAATATGGTAAATAAAATAAATTCTCAAAAAGAAGTGTGAAGTGAAATTTATGTTATTTAAATGATCAATTGGTTTTTTCGTTTGTATTTTATGAAGATGATATTTTTCATCAAAACATAGAAATGCCATGAGCTCCCTTACCAACTTATAAATTACTAAAAAGTAATAGACTTCAATTAGCACAATAGAATCTAAATTTTTTTTTTTTAAAGAAACAAGCAATCATACAAATATTTAAGTGAATGCATGAATTGTTATGTTAAGACTGTCTTATTAATTAGCACATGAAAATTAATTATTATATTAATGCCTATTTATGTGTCCTTCATGCCACATCCGAGACATATATTATATTCACATATGGAAACCTAAATCATAGTCACAAATGGCTGCTGTGTGCTGGAAAAAGTTTAGTATTCGATTACCATAGCCTTTGAAGTAGATTGTACTAGAAATATCATATTAGAAATTTTAGAAATGGTCTAGACTCTATAAATATTCACATTTAACGCACAAAACAATTATTTATAAACTTTACTAAATTATATAAATTTCATATTTACATTATTATGAAATTTAAAGTTTATTCATGTTTACATATAATAAATATATCTTCAAAGTAGAAAACATAAAAGACCAAGCCCTAAGGAGAGTTACGAAAAAGATAATCTCCAAACAAAAATAAATCTAATAGACATTATTTAATTCAGATTGAGATAAATATTTATATACTGAAAATCAAATTAAAAACTTCACTTAAATTAAAAGCTCTTTTTAAATAAATAGTTATAATAAATTATTTACCACAGTGTGTATATTTGCCCAACACTCTCAATCCATCCTATTTTCTAGCTCTCTTATCATGTGGCATATATATTTTTTTTAAGTTCTGTGTTTGTCTATATATTGAATGGGTGAAATTAGAGGGATAGTGACTTAAATGAAAGTGAAAGGGTGAATAATTTTGTATAGCGGCTCATCTAACTATTAACTATTAAATAATACGATCTAATCTTTTTTGCTTTATATTGAAATTACCAATTCACATTGTAATTTTAATGTAACGTTCTCACTCTACAATATAAATATCAAATTTATAAATTGTTTTAATTGGCATTAAATTAGTAAATAAATTTTGAGATAGTATTATTTTTTGTCATTATCCATGGAATTAATTAAGTTTTTACTTAAATAACCACTTACTATTAGATCTTGACTCATATATATAAATTTATCCAGTGGAATTAAATTAAGTCTTTCTTTACTTAATAACCACCTTACTATAGATCTTGACTCATATAATAAATTATATATTATATATATATATAATATATATATTAGAATAATTTTTTTTCGAAACACATGTAAGGAATAATTTACTATCTCATATAATTTTAAACAAGAATTATATTATATAAAAAAAAAATACTCGTAAAGCACGCATACACATTAATTTATAAAGATTTTCACGGGTTGAGAAGTGAAAACCCACTTGTATGTTCCATTTTCCAAACAATGTTAAGAATAATTTACCTTCTCCATAAATTTTAAACAAATATATATATATATAAAAAAAAAATACTCTAAAGCACGCATAACATTATTATAAATTTTCCGGGTTGAGAAGTAGAAAACCACTTTATCCATAAAATTGAAGCATTTAAAAAAAAAAAAAGAAAAAGAAAAAAACCACTCACTCTATCCATTCAATGAGATGATGATATTTTATACACACACTCGCACACATCTGTTCTGTCAATCAAAAAATTTTCTAATAAAAAGCAAACACAAATCATTGGAAACAAATGAACAATGTCCAGTTGCCGAATTCATCTCCATTATCTATTGGTTGCGGACCCAATGCTGAGTAAGAATCTGCCTAATCCAAGTCAATGCCACGTTATCTAGGACCCACCTTTCTATTTCTTTTATGGTACGCGCTTTTGTCACTACACAACAATAGCTTCACTGAATCCGGTGGCTGCTTCTGGTTGGTCTGTGAAGACTCAGCGGTGACAGATAATTGTTTCTGTGTATACAATTAAAAAATAGAAAGGTTAAGTGGGGTTAATTAATTCCATTAAACCATGATATGTAATTTGTTTGTTGGGTCTTTTAGAGTTGATTTGATGGACATGTTTTTTTTTTTTTTTGGAGTATATGGTAAGATATGATTTCAAAATCTTATTGCATTGTATATTCTAATTAAAGTAATTAACCATTCATGTCAATAATTATATCATGCGCATTTTTTATTTGAAACACAAAATTAGAAGTCAAATCTGGTGGATTTTTCAAGATTTTCTTTAGAATATAACAATGAACTCTAAAATATTACTTAATCTCCTCCGATTATTTTACCTTGGTTAGCTCGTGATTTAGTGGGTGTTGACATAAAATATGAATCCTGTGTTTGACATACAATTAAATTTCCAAAGAAACTGACATCTTACGAAAGAAAGAGGAAACATCTTAGAGGTGCCTCCGACGGGAATTTCTTCTTGGTTGATTCATGATTCTATGGTGTTTCGTATTATAGATTGTGTTTGTCTTTTTTTAGAGAGTTTTAGCTCTCTTTTCTTACAAAAAAACAGAAAAGAAAGAAAGAGCGGACAACAATAACTTTGCTAAAAAGCCTGTCGGTGAGGATTTAATGAATTGGTAACACAAGCAATAGCTGCAGGCATGTGAATTTGTTCAACCAATCTGTGTTAATAGTCTGGTTATCAAATAGTATAAGGTAGACAGCTATGCATTTCTTGGCAATAATTAGCTGTCCCTTGTCTCCCAATTCTATAAATACACAATAAGTCATTATTCATTACAACGAAGAATTTGATGGATTCTAGTTTTTATATCAAACCAGAATCAGATTCGATTCGTGGATTAATCAGTTCGTCCGAACAATATAGTCCGATTTTAAAAACATGATATTATGAAAATATGTAATTTTCGGCTTGACTGATCTTACTTCTGATTTGCAGGTTTTTATGTACATCAGTAAGAAGTCAAAAATTGGTTGGTTCTTCAATCTGGCTGCCTGAATTCAATACTTGTAAACACCAATATCCTTACTGATTTATAGAGCACTGTTGGAGGCTCAATTATTGAATTCACTACCAACATGAAATGTAAACGTGTGGGAAAGATTAATAGATTAAAGCTGAAAAGGACCTCCAGGTGAAATTGAAATTTTGGAAGCTTTCTAGCTTCAACCACCTTTCATCAATTCCAAATCCAAAAAGATCTCAACTTTCATTTTTATCCAACATAATCCAAATCACAACCCAGCTCATCAGTAGTGCCTTTTTCCCCTTCTTTTAATAATTTTTCATGTTAGACTAAAACACATCTGGGTGATGACCTTTGTGGAATTTATTGAATTTGATTATTATGGTTCATTCCAAAAGAGAGATTTATGAACTGATTTGAATAAAATTCTAGATTTTGAAAATTAAACAAAATTCAATACATAACATAAGAACAGTCTAAAAATTGAAAGATGACATTAATCAATCTGTAAAAACTTGATAAATATTAATATTCCTTCACAAGAATACAATCTCCAATCTCTAAATACCCAGTCAAGAGGCAGGGCTCATGGTTAAACAGATAAAAACTAGGAACCAGGCCTCTGCTTATGGAAAACCCCATAACAATAGATATATACAATTCAAGAACCAGGAAAAAAGAAAAAAAGAAAAAAGAGCAACAATTCAGTAAGCTTGTTACTAAATAACTCAAACTCCAATAGCAGTTTCTTCTTTAAGATAAATGGTTTTCATAATCAAATCTCCCATTCTTTCTTCTTTACTAGTGCTGAATTGTAATGATGATTTAATTGGCAATTCACCAACTGATTGTAATGCCAATATTTCAGATTCATTTAAACCCTTAGCAGGCCCAAGGCTGCATCTGTCTGATCCATATTTTGCCAATGCATCTTTAAATTTCTTGATCTGTAACCAATAATTCAATTAGAAATTCACTAAATATTACTCATTCTATTTTAACAAAGAACACTTACAGTTGCATTGGTGCAGCTGAAGCTACACAAACGCCCTTCTGCACCTCTATAGAATCTAAAAAATGGCAGAACATGGATGTGAAGACTCTGACACATGGTTTTAAGCTCCTCATAATTTACTTTTAGAAAAATTGCATCTGGGTTTGATTCAGCCAATTGACAAATCTGTTAACAAGAGCAATAATATAATCAAGGATTAATTAATCTTAATTAAGTTCATCTAAATAAATGGCTGCAATATATGTATAGTATATATACCTTAGGATGCAGAGATTTGCAGCCTCCACAACCAGGAGAATAAAAATCAACAACGACCAATTTATTCCCAGCATTTAACAAAGAATCCACCAGTTCTTGAGCCGAATGGATCTCTACCATATTGGGTTTAAGTGTCTTTTCCCACCATCTAAGAGCTCTGCTTACACAAAGTGAACCTTGTGCCTGTAAAATTAAAAGATGGATTATTAGTTTTCTAATGTAAAAAAAGAGGAAAAAGTACAAAATAAAGAAGCAAGATTTTCCACATACACGAACAGAGAAATTGCTTGGGGCTTTGATGCTTGAATCTGTTTGATCTGAAACTACTAAGGGTTGGCCCATGAAATCTATACTCAAAAGAGGAAATTCCTTTGATTTGGATTCTTCAATTTTTATAATACCAGAAGAAGAAGAAAACCCAGAAGCCCCTTTGGTTTTTGAGCTCAAAATGTTGTCATTCAACCCAGAAATATTGAGAAAGCTCTTCAAGTAACAAGCCATGGCTATTGATAATTTGGTGTATTGTAAACAATAAACTTACAAAAGCATCAAACAACAAAAACCAACCAAAACACACTTTTTTGGATCAAAAAGTAATTTTTGAACCAAAAGAACAGTATATGAAGAGAAAATCCACAGTTGGAAGAAGACCCACTTAGATTTTCAAAGAAAAAGTGCAGAATTGTGAAAAAAAATTCTTCTTTTTGACCAATATTGAAGAAAGAGATGAATTTTGTTTGTTCTTTCAAAATTCCAAAGCAGAAGAAGAAGAAGAAGAAGAAGAAAAGAAAGTAAATAAATAGTTAGTTGGGTTCAAAATAGAAGGAAGAGGGTAGGTGGGGTCTCTATCATAAATACTTTTGATTTAACATTATCCATCTTTTTTCTGGTTAAATATGTAAATTTAAGATTTTTTAGATATGGATAATTTCTAATTGACAAAGGGATTAAGAATTTAAGCTGTGTCTTGTACCCATGTTAACCGTTTTTAAAGATAATCGTGTTGTTTTTTTTCTGTTAAATGGTTTTAATTTCAGGAGATATAAAACGTTTTTATGATAAGATTTGTTTAAGATTCCTCTGTATTTTTAGGGTTTATGTTTGGCAGTTGGTGATGTCTATGCTGTCTAAACCGTGGTGCTGACTGTGCTTTCCCCATTCCCAAAAAATTGGATAAGGTTCTTTTTATTTGAAATTTTAATTCCGTAAAACTTCTGGAAAAAAATTATTGAAATTGCTCTGCTTCGAATCTCAAACGTCTAAAATCTAATCCACTCACGCCAAACTTCTATTACAAGTTAATTTGAATTATTTCCGCTCATACTAATTTTATTAGTCGTTAGTAATTTCGTTCTCATTTTTTATAAATTAACGAAATTTTCTTTTTAAGATATGAATTAATACATAACATTAATAATTTCTTTCTTCCATTAATAAACAATATATATATAATATTGACAATTAATACCATTAACAGTAATTAACTTTCTTCTTCCATTGAATCAACAAATATTTATATATATAATAATATCTATTAATTACATATAAATTATACTATGAAAGCCGATCAATATAAGCGCAGGGCTTCAGGGATTCAGTACAATGTTTCTTGGAGCATGAAATAAGGCCAATTATTTTGTCCTCTTTTCTTATTTAAAAAATCGAAAAAAATAAAAAATAAAAAAATGATGCTTCTTAAGCTAACTGCAGATGGCAGATCCATACACACTGTCTTCACTTACTGACAAAAACATTTGAACGAGTTCAACGGCATCCCACAAAACCCCAGATATATTTTGAAACACACAAATTTTACAAAAACAAAACCGACCAATCCCATCTCATATATATATAAATTAACTATGAGCATAATATAGCGCAGGGTTCAGGGATAGTAAATGTTCTTGGAGCATGAAATAAGGCAATTATTTTGTCCTCTTTCTTATTTAAAAAATCGAAAAAAATAAAAATAAAAATGATGCTTTTACTACTGCAGATGCAGATCCATACACTGTCTCACTTACTGACAAAACATGAACGAGTCACGGCATCCCACAAACCAATGATATTTTGATAACACACAAATTTTACAAAAACAAAACCGACCAATCCAATTATCACTTCGGGGTTGTAACATGATTTTTCAATTTTGCAGTGAAAAATTTATTTTTCACTGCCGTAGGTTTATTTTATAAATCCTTTTAAATATACATTATCCACATATTCAAAATTAAATTGGTAAAAATTAGAATAAAAAAATTAATTTTTTTAGAAAAACTGAAATGAGCTCCTATAGGATAAATTTTTTGGAAAAGCGTAGCCCACCGCTTTGTAGCTTTGCACCCACTGTTTTGGAACTGTGGTTTGTCCAAATCTTGGTGTAGGTATCTTCTAGAATTGGACCACTCATTTATCCTTTCCTTTCATTTTCCCACCAAATTAAATCCTAGAGCTACCAAGAATGAATATAATAACTAACAAAATAAATTTTTAATAGAAATAAATTTCATACTTAAGGCATTTCAATATAATTAAGGCATTTTTAATATAAACATCACACTGAAAATACGTTTTAATTATATTATATTATATTATGTTACATAATCTTAATAAATTATTGTAACTCTAATTTAGATACAATTTATATGTTAATTAAATTATAATTTATAGGTCAACACAATTATGTTTTTTTGAAGGAAATATATTGCTTTATTAAATCAAATCTTGAGTAATAAGAGCTTTACATTGGAGAAAAATGAATTCGAATATAGATCTACTGTTAAATCGTACATACACTTTCATATGTCTTGGAAGCTCATACAAAATATGATTATGCAACTAAACTACGGGCAGCTTGATTGGCTTGCCTTCAAATCCATTTGAAATCTTGAAATTAATAAAAATATGAAATTGAAAAATAAGGCTTGAAAAGTGGATTTCTGACATAGTCTATTTTTCTTAATGAAACATTAGACAAATCCATGGAATATATCTATCTGGAAAACCTTGATAGGATAGTACAAAGGTGTATAAACAAAAATGTCCATAGAGGCAGCACAAAATCTAGGCCCAACTAATTGGGCCGAATGCAGCCTGCATCACATTTTCTTGAAATAACATGTTTGATAGAAAAAATTATAATTGTATTTTGCAGAAAAAAAAAATTTATCTTTGTATTTTTTTTTTTTTTAAAAGTAAATTGTCTTATGCTCGTATTTTTAGTCTATTAGACCCATCCCTTCCTTTATTTTTGCAATTTCGAATGTTAAATTGTTATGAAATGACATCAACAATTCTAATTAAAAGTACATTTTTTTTTTATTCCACGGATATGATTATAATTTTCACTATATGATAATATGACATACGTGATGAAGGAATTTTTTTTTGCTATCGATCCGACACACGGAAACTTCTCTTTCCCCTGTAATTTTGGTCCTTGGCAGAAATCACCCATATAGGAAAATCAAAACACATTCGGAGCAATATATATAGTGTTGTCTTAATGTTTGAAGGTTGGATAAACAACATATTGTAATATTAATAAAATCTGTTGATTAGAATTAACTACAACCAACTACTTTCTACCAGCTTCTTCCAATTCGCGCAGACCTCCAACCTTCTGCTCAATCTCCTCAATCAGTTCCTCACGCCAAAGCTCTGCTCTTGCAGATTCTTCAATATCCTCTTGCTGCAAAATTAGTAACCACTTATAACTTAATTGATTCTGCAAAACTCATACCAACTAATGAAACTTTTGCAGTAGTAATACCTTCTCATATATCCAATGGCCACTGCCATCTCCTCCATCTTTTCTATATGCATCTGAATCATAGTATGGATCCTAACCAGCATATAATTTTGTATTTTCAGAAGTCAAGCTCAATGACCAAAACATAACTTACTTTCATTAACTTACTTTCATTGAACCAAAGAATAGACATCCCCAACAAGTGAAGAAAAGGTAAAATACATCTGAAAGGTGAAAAGTCATGAGTTAATATCAAATTAGGAGTTCAGGAGTTCAAACCAATGAAAAGCTCAATTAAAACAGAATAGACTCACAAACGTTTTTGATGGCTTGATCACTGAGATGCCAAATGGATTTATGAGTAATGAGGTCCCTTTGACCTTCCATGTGCTCGACTAACACTGCCATTAAAGGCCAATCTGGCAAAGCATTTACTTTATTCAAGGACCCTCTTTTGCTCTTGCTGATTTGCAACTAATATACAATGTGAAATTTAAATTTTCATTCTTCAGTTTATATATCTTAAAACAATAATTTAAGCTGTTCAATTACCTGTTGCCACCCTCTAAAAAGTGTGGAGCTTGAAAATTGTCTGAGCTGCAAAAGAATAAGATAATTTAATAAATTTTTTTTCAGAATTTGTAAAATTTTTGATTGAGAATATAAAGATTTTACCATTCTGGAAGATGGGTTACAGTCAGATTTTGGTGATTGGAAGGAGTTATGGATATGTGGTCTGGTAATGTTAAAGGTCATGATAGCTTCAGCCATTGTTGTGAATAGGATAGTAGTGAAATGTACAGTCTCAGAATTCTGATTTTGTTAAGTAGGTTTGGAGAGAGAGAGAGTTGTGGATAAGCAAAGCATTTACATCCATCCTTCCATTGCACACATGGAGCCTATTTGGATACGGTTGAATTTGATTTCCCTTCCTTAATTTTCAGTGAAATGACCATTGTATCCCTTCAGTTTATCATTTCATTCAATTAAAACAATAAAAAAGAACTAAGAAATTAACTATATTCTAAGATATTCGAGATAAATGAAAAAGAAAAATAAATCTGACTCTATGGAATAGAAGGAGTATAAAACTTATTTCTGAATTGATTTCAATTTTTTATGGAAAAATACAGGTGGAGCAGGTCCGATTTATGAAAAGTTGGCACTTTTCAAATTCAGACCCATGAATAAATATGTCAAAATTCTTATCTTAGCTGCTGTATTTATTACTTTTAAAAAATTTTAATATATAAAAATAGGAATGTTTTTAAAGACCAGTTATAATGGGCCCAGGCCCATCCAGCCAGTTGACTACTGGGTCGGATAAGGAACAATACGTTTCTTCTTCAATCTGAATCCCGATCACTGGACCAAACCAGATAAATAAACAGGAGCCTTTTGAACTACACTACATTAAAAATATTAATTAAAAATTATTGTTAAAATAATTAAAATAAATATAAAATATATTTTAAAAAATAATTGTTAATGTAATAATAATCTTAATGGTATAATTTTTCTAATAAGCTTATTCTTCAACTAGAAAATAATAGGAAAAAAAAAAGAAGAAACACAGATTTGAAATTTTCTAGATAAATATAGGCGGTATCTGTCTGTGTCTGCAGCCCACAATGGTGATGGCGTACACATTGAAAACCCCAAGAAATTGATGGCTTCATGTCATGTTTGTTATTAGAAACAAATATAATATAATATAATATTTTTGTTTTTTAGGTGTTTTGATAATATTGATGTTTTAAAATTTTAAATTAGTAAAAGTGTGATAATTATTTATAAACAAAAATTATTTATTCCATCCTCCAAATCCGAAAAACTTTTCAAATTATTGATAGATATAAAATGATGAAATCATGTATGTTTTGGTAAAAATTTCGATTTTCTATGTTTTTTATTTATATAACTTGAAAAACATGTTCATGAGATAACAAAAATTATTTTTTAAAAGTTCAAAATTTAAAACATGTTTCACATTGTAACCATCACTAGAGTAGAGAGTTTAAGATTCGTAAAACTTGTAACTACAAGATTTCTTGTTTTCGAACTCAATTTTTCTTTTTGAGTATAATTTATATATGTATGAGATTTTCTGACATCTTTACTATTCATATATGGATTAAATTGATTAATTTTTCTGATCTACATGCAACTCATTCAATTAAACGAGTTACATCGTAATATGATTTTATCACATGTTTAATTTTCGTAGCATATTTATTTTTAAATATTTAATACGATTGCTAAATGAATCGTGTTCATATTCACCTTAATCGTGTTGTTTGTCGGTCGAAATCCATATCCCTTATTATTTATTTTTATGCATTATGTCTTACTATCTAAACAATAAACTAATTCAGTTGGATTCCAATTTTTAACAACTAACAGCAGCTAGTTTCAACATTCCCATTGTATTCCAGAACAGTGTTGCCCACTGTAATATCTTAAAGTTCAAAATTTCCACAGCCCAAAATTGATATTCACATTTCACCACTTAATCCTAATTAATTATGTATTAACAACTAACCAAGTCAATTAATGATTTGTCTTTGATTTCATAATCTAAAAGGCTAAAAATACACTTGCTTTTATTTTCTTTATATTTTGATTAATTAAAAATACATTTTCTATGAATGATTTTGATGTTTAATAATTTGAAATTTCTTTTTTATTTATTTTCTTATGATTTAAAAATCCAATAACTGAATTTAATCAATATTTAAGAGGTAAATGAATAATAGATTAAACTCAAATTGCTAAACACTTTTCAAATTGGACCAAATTATATTTGTTTGGTTTGGACATACTTTTAATAATTTACATTATTGTTATTTTGAAAATTAGTTGATTTAGTTCGAATACATCCTCTAAAGCAATCCCAGAAAAAGAAAAAAAAAAAAATTATTTAGTAGTTTATGACAGGCTTTGATATGTCAGAATGCTAACATTAATAAAAACAAATCGAATAAAGTTTCTAAATTATTAAGGTTCATTTTAGTAAATAAATAAATGAAATATTTAGTATTTTAACCTTAATTAAAATATTATTTTTATTATTTATTATTTTTGATAATATAATATTTATATTAGTATCTAGAAACACGAAAATAGTTAAACAGTTAATGAAAGAAACATATTAGAAGGATAATTAATTTTGCCGAATGGTAACAAAAGCTATTTTTAAATTGCTATTAAAAAATTTTGTTAAAAATTTAATTAAAAATCTTTAAAATTTATTTAAAAATAAATTTGACTTTTTTTGTGTAAAAAGTATTCAACCATAACGTCGAACTAATCTAGCAATAAAAGATAACATAGAAGGTAGGATTGTTGGATAAATAAAAGCAGCCATCAGCTTATTCAGCAACTACCCGACATTGCCATTTCCGCTAAGAAAGTTCAAAGCCAAAACGCAAGAAATTCATTCCGCCTAAGTCTGTTCTTTGAGCTTCTACAACTCTCATCTCTTTTTCTCCTTTGATCTATTTTTTTTTTCCTCTCACCGTTCTCTCAATTTTCCCGAGAAAATCCCAATGGCTAATAAGGCAGGAATATTTGATTTAGAGACAAACTTTGCGTTTTATGGAGCTTACCACAGCAACCCAGTTAACATTTTTATACACACATTATTTGTGTGGCCAATCTTCTTCACTTCTCTCGTGCTCTTATATTTTACCCCTTCGATATATGATATATCTCAAGTTGGATTTGGTGATGGCCATGGCCTGTTGCTCAATTTTGGATTCTTTTTCACTCTAATATATGCGTTGTTTTATGTGGGTTTGGACAAGAAAGCTGGAACTTTGGCTGCTCTGATTTGCTTTGGGTGTTGGGTTGGTGCTAGTTTCCTTGCTGCACGGCTTGGATTTTCTCTCGCGTGGAAGGTAAGTCATTTTGGTTTTATTAATTGGGGACTGTTTGATCGATAAGTAAATAAGATACGCCCAAAAAATGTCCTTTCTTCATTGTTAATTGTTAGGTTTCTATAAAAGTGTGTAATGTTTTTATTTGATAAACGTTCTTTATCATTTTTGTCGTTTTCTTTTGCATTAATTCATGGATATTCTGTTGTTTGGTGTCATAAATGAATTTGTATCTCCTGCAGGAATTTAGGGCTTTTTAGTTATTGATTTCCTTAGTCTTATCGCAGAGAAGAAGGGTGAAGTTGTCTCTCGAGACGCTATACACATGGTCGCTCCTAGAAAACCATTTGGGGATTTTGACGTTTCTGTTTTGCCATAAAGTATAGTTCTTTGGCCTTAAATCAGTGGCTAACCCTGTAAATTGTGATGAGTTTGAACCATGCTCATTAGAATTGCCCATTTCACACTATGTTTTGACCCCCAAAACAAATACAAGATAAGAAGAAAACTATTCCAATACGGAGATTCATTATGCAGGTTTGACCATCAGCAAATTCACTGGTTAATATCTGGGAGCAATTGGATGTGTTTTTGGGATAAGGTTTTGACTTTTGAGGCTTGCCAAAATGTGTGTTCATCCCCTTAGCTACCGGGGACAAATGCATCATTTTAGATACTTACCCTTGCTACTGGCAAAACCAAGCGCAATCCTTGTAATTTGGCATCATTCGAGGTGCAACAAGAAAACACAGAATAGATGAACAAGGGAAATCTCAAAATTTGATGGAATTGAAGAACTCTAATTTCACTTTTTATAGAGCTTGTTTAGTTAAGAATGCCATAACCATATTATACTGTCAGCTGACTGGGAATTGAATCAATTGAAAAAGTTTGAAATGGTCACTTTGAGTCTATAATTTTGCAGGATAAGCTGCAGTAATGGATCAAAAATTTTCAAATAAAGGATTTCTTGATTTCCTCACTGTTTTCATCATTGGTCATTTGTCAGGTCCTCACCAGATTATAGATTTTAGCCTTTTCATTTAGATATGAACCACAGTGACCTGGTCGATCGTGGATAAATCAGTTAAGCCATTTCAATTGTTTGATATAGTTCCTGAATTTTTGTGTCACCTGTGGAATTTTTTTTTCTTTACTGAAGTCCTGTTATCCATTGTTATAGACAAACAGACCAACCTTGAACTTTAGTTGAAATCTTCTTTTACTCGAACCATCTAACTGATGAAGCTAGCTTACTTGAGAGTTTCTGGAAGGATAACAGCAGCGAAAAACTGTAGGTTATCTTGTAAGTGCCTTGGGTTAATAGCAAAGGAAAACACTGTGCCATTGTTATCAAGAAGATAAATGTATACTTATGCCAAATTATTAGTTGGAACTTGAGACTCCACAACGGTCATTCGAAACATTTTTTAATTTTGTTAGTAGTTGACATACATATTTAGATTTGATTGAGTTGGACTCTAATTGGTTGTTACCAATTTAAATCAGGTTGTGCTGGCAGCACAATTGTTTTGTTGGACTGGACAGTTCATAGGCCACGGAGTGTTCGAGGTAGGTGCTTTGTTTTCAATAATCTCGTGAATGATTCATTTCCTCCAAATTCCAAATTTATAGTCCTATTATTGATGTATCCTAGGAATTATGTGTTGCTTTTGTGTTCCTGCAAATTTTATAATCCTACTTGATATATTCCTTCTGTAGCACCGGGCTCCAGCTCTTCTTGATAACCTCACACAAGCCTTTCTGATGGCTCCATTCTTTGTACTTCTAGAGGTAAGTACCTATTTAATTATTGAACCAGAAATGAAATTCTCACTGAAATTTTAGAAAGGTTTATCCGATTTAAGAATGACTACAGAGATTGATCATGGCGGTATCGTTGCAGGTTCTTCAAATAGCCTTTGGATATGAACCATATTCAGGGTTTCATGCAAGTGTAAAAGCAAAGATAGATGCAGAGATCAAGGAATGGCAGGACAAGAAACAAAAGAAGTCCACTTAGCTTACGGTCATCATTGTAAAATTAGTTTGTGATGATGTATTATCAAAAACTAAATGAGACATCCATACTGTTTTTACAGCAAAATTTATATCATGATCTTGTTGCCAACAGGAATATATTCGAAGTTACAAAGAATCCAATTCTGTTGTTCTTTTTTTTTTTTTTTTTTTGGGCTTCCCAGCTCTTCTTTGATTTAAACCTCACACAAGCCTTTCTGGATGGCTCCCATTTCTTTGTTACTTCTAAGGTAAGTACCTATTTAATACTTTGAAACCAGAAATGCAAATTCTCACCTGGAAATTTTAGAAAGGGTTTATTCCGATCTTAAGAATGACTACAGAAATTGATTCATCCGAGTTATCGTTGCCAGGTTCTCTCAACAATAGCTTTGGATTATGAACCATATTTCAGCGTTTCATGCAAGTCGTAGAAAAGCCCCAAAGATAGATGCAGAGATCTCAAGGAATGGCAGGACCAAAGAACACAAAAGAAGTCCACTAGCTTACGGGCCATGCATTGGGTAAAATTAGTTTGGTGCATGATCTTGTATTTATCAAAAACTAAATTGCAGACATCCATACGTTTTTTACAGCAAAATTTATTATCATTGATCTTGTTGCAAACAGCGAATATAATTCGAAGTACAAAGAATCCAATTCTGTTGTTCTTTTTTTTTTGTTTCCTTTCTGCTTTCAATATTTCTTTAAATCATTTGACTTTTTTTTTTTTTTTTTTTTTCTCTTTCAATATTTCTTAATCATTGATTGACAGTAGTTGCTTCAAAATTCCGTATCTTATAGTAATACATAACTTTTGTACTAGGGTAGTAACTTCAGACGATCTTAATCCCTTTTGTTAGAATGCATGCCGATGAAGCTATTACCAGGCTCTGGTTTCTTAACTCTCCTCTTCTGCATTGATTTCCTCTCTCTTGCAACTTCATTCCATTGCCCCACACTTGCATAGATGTTAGAAAGAAGAACATAGTCGCTGCTATGATCTGGTGCTAATTCCAGAAGATGCTTCCTCACCTGCTCACCAAGTTCAACATTTCCATGCAGCCTACAAGCAGCCAACGATATCCGCCACACAATGGCATTGCATTCCATAGGCATACTCCTAATCAATTCATAAGCCTCTACCACAAACCCAGCTCGACCCAAAATATCAACCATGCAACCGTAATGCTTTATTGTGGGTTTGATATGATATTCTTTGCTCATCATATCAAAATATCTTCTTCCTTCATCTACCATTCCTCCATGGCTACAAGCACATAGTACACCCAAGAAAGTAATATCATCTGGTTCCAAATGGTTTTGTTCTAACATTCGAGAAAAAAGCACCAATGCCTGATTTGTCTGGCCATGATTTGCTAGACCTGAAATCATTGTATTCCATGTTACTATATTCCTTTGGTTCATTCTACGAAATGTCTCGTATGCTTCTTCTACTGCTCCACACTTGGCATACATATCAATTAGTGCATTATTGACCTTTATAATGCTTCCAAGACCAGTATGACTAATACAATAATGAATCCATCTACCAAAATCTAATGCTCCCACTGCAGAACATGCTGCAAGAGTCACAACCAATGTGGCTTCATCAGGCTCCATACCAAATTTCAACATCGTAGAAAACAAGTCAAGTGCTTCCTTAAATTTGCCACAATACACACAGCAACTGATGATAGTGTTCCATGCCACTAATTCTGGACTAGAAATTTCTTCGAACAGTTGGCGTGCTGTTTCAATGTCGTCAAACAAACCGTACATGTGAATAAGATTATTCTTAACAAAAAGACGCGTGTCAAGCCCATGCTTTAATATGCTGCCATGCATTTGTTTCCCTAATAAAACTGAGCTTAATTGCCCAGAAACCTTGACCAAGAAAGAAAATGTGAAATCGTCTGCAACCAATCCTTTCGCTTGCATTCTGTTGTAGTACTCGAAAGCTTTTTGAGGGTCATTGGTATCGCCAAAACCCCTAATCATTGTATTCCAAAGAAACCCGTCTGGATTTCCAATATTTTCAAAAACCGAAACAGCGTAATCGATATCTCTTTGCTCTGAAACAGCACAAAAGACTATGACTTTGCCTATAACAAAAAGGTTTTGTTCAAAGCCAGATTGGATGACATGGGCATGGATTTGCTTCAAATCTTTCATGGTGGAGCATTTCTTTAAAAGGGACATAAGAGCTTCTTCCTTCGATAAGGAAGTGTTGCTTGGGATTGCAATTGTGGTTGTTGATATGCAGCGACTCAAAGAAAGCAGATACAATTTTGAGAAACCCAGTCGTAGACATTGTTGCTTGGTTTTGGCTAGAAGAAAAAGATTGGTCAAAAAGTTAGATTTTAGGCGGGTAAGCAAGTGAATGCTCATATTTGCAGAGTAATTCTACACAGGCGTGATTTTAACTTGTTAAGATCTCAGTAAGCCCAACTCCCAACGCTCCAATGGGTCCATTGGGCCTTTGGATACCCAACGGAATAACTCTCCCAGCCCATCCCTAATCCTCACTTTAATCAATAATAACATGACCCTACTTAATATCAATAACAAAAAATTTTTAAAAAATAAAAATCTTAATATCAATGTATATAGTTTCAATACTTAAATGTTGTCCCTTCTTCTTCTTTTTTTTCCAAAAAAAAAAAATATTTATAAGAAAATAATGTGATGACTATAAAATAATTAGAAACACGACACTTAAAGCTAACAACTTTGAAAACAAAATATTTTTGTTGTTTTCAAATCCCAGAAAATAATGACCAAGACACCATAATTAGGTATTAGATTCTGAGCCTACTGCCTTAATAGTCTATATATATATATATATATAACAATCCCTTTCATGTGGCCACCTTCCTAACCTACCTCATTAGCAGTTATAAAGGAATGTTGCAACTTCATATTCAACTTAATTAATGCTGCTCTTCCAATAACAATCTTCTATCTAACACGTAAAAGAAAACCACCATAAAAACAATATTATTATCTTAAAATTTTTTGACTTGGTCAACAGTAATTTGTTAAAAATTGGAAATTGCTGATACTTTGAATGAATTACAGAAATAGATTCAAAGTAAAATAGTAGAATACAATTTTTTTTTTTGAAAAAAAGAAAAAAGAAAAAAAGTTTTAACCTAATGGTCAAATACCGAGCTGGTGACACCTCTTATGAATCGATAGAAACAAACAGAAGATAAAACAAAAAATGGAAAATGAACATCTTCATAAGCACACATAATGACAAATATACATAGTCTATATTCTAATTTTAGGTATTAAAATGGGAAATTAAGTGAGGTAACAAAACTTCTCTAAACCCAAATTAATTATATATTACTATTCAAATTATATCATTAGTCAATTATTCTTTTTATTCTTTGAATCGTAATTTAAACTAATTCATAAGATTTTAGGTTTGATTATTATATCCCCAACATTATATAAAAAAGATTTTATTAAACATTAAATTTTAAAATGAAACGAATAACGAAATTTTGTTTAATTAGGTTCTCAAAATATATAAAATATCAGACTATTTTGATTTGAGTCTTAAAACAAAAAAGATTTAGACATCCAGCCAACCCACGTACCAATTCTAATGTTTTAGGTCTAGAGTCGCTATTCAAAACAACAGTAAAAATTTATTCACAGAAGGTAAAAACAACTGAATATATGATTTATGGACATCCAGCCAACCCCACGTACCAATCTATGTTTTAGGTCTAGAGTCCGCCTATTCAAAACAACAGTAAAAATTTTTTCCACAGAAGGTAAAAACAACCTGAAATATATATTATATATATATAGTATATATATATATATATATAATATTTTTTCAAGAATAATATGTAATGTTACCTATTAATTTAAATTCAACAGAAAGCAACTTCCAAAACAACAATAAAAAAGAGAAGTAATATATATTTTCAAGAATATATGTAATGTTACCTATTATTTATTCACAGAAAAGACAACTTCCAAAACAACAATAAAAAAAGAGAAGTAGGGAGCGATTGTGATGAAGACTCTGACAAGAAAAATTTCTAGCCTCTAAGGATCAACCATCCCACGTGGATCCAGAATACCAATTCACCACATACAAGTAGTCTTTGCAACTTGCAACTCCCTCTTAATTTATATTATTTTTTGGTTTTAACCGTTCGTATCCGAAATCTATAGACTTGACTAATCTAGATTAGGACAGACTACGAAAAGGCAAAGCACTCTCTCACGAGTGTTTAAAGGAATTCTATATTTAAAACTCGAACCTGACACTTTTGAATAAGGGAGAATGGATCTCTACCATCCCATCTCATTTCTTGAGGTCTCTTAATTTATATCATTCTAATACTTTTCAGCTTTAATTTGTATTGTTTTGATATTTAATCAATTGAAATACTTGTCCATGTCAATCTCTTCTTAAAAATTTAAATAAATATTGAGCGAAATCGGTTTTTTTTTTTTTTTTACTGGAAAGATGTATTAATATCAGAGAGAAATACATCATAAATAAAAGATGAAAGGTATATATAGTCCATTTTGTTCATTAAGACATAGAACCGACAATTTGAATTAACTCATGAGCAATTTGACTCGCTAAACGTCTAATAAACACAAAAGAAAGTGAAGAGAACTCTCCAAACAAGAGCCTTACAATCAGAAGTTCAATTAGTAATGATAAGTCCTTATCTTTCTTGTCAATTAAAATTCGATTATGAAATAATTATAAATGTAGTAAATTACTACTATGATGGAGTGCTCAACATTAAAGTTATCCAAAAATAGATTTATAAATTTTATAATAAATAAAATAACTTTCTAAATCAATTTCATATTAAAATTCATAACTTTGATGTATGTAATTTTTGTTTTGGGTTTTTGTTGGAAAACCAGGAGTTGCATTATTAAAACAAATCTGATAATGCATTTCTTTTCTGAAAAATTCTTCCAATATCAGCAAATCCAGTCACGGTGCCAGATTGAAGATTAACAGGACGAAAAAGATTTTCAAAATCAAGAAGTAAAATTATATTTTTGTTATTTACGAATGGTAAAAAAGCTTATAAATCAAAATTTATAGAAATATATATTTAAAAAATGTTATTTTGTACCACTTAAATCAGTCCGGAGAAAAGAAATATAATCCAATCGGCACCTTTACATGATATAGGTGCAGTACAAATGAAAAAACATTTTCAACACGAAAGCAAAATTAAAATGATAAGATAAATTAAATTTTTTCTTTTTAGGATCCAAGTTGAGGAGAAAATGGTAATTCCAGTCCGATATAATCATTGTAATAACTAATAAAGCATGCTCTTGCCCCATTAACCAACTATAATGACAAGAGTAGCCTTTACCTTTCTGGTAACGAATCCAATTATAAGATGACGCGTGTCAATTTTCCGTTGCTTTAGGAATTTCAATCGTCTAGGTAACCTCACAAATTAGTCAACGTCCATATCTGCCACGTAAGCATCCAAAAGGCAAAACAAAAAATTAAAAAAATTTTGGCCCTGCAATGCATGGCCACACTCCACGGTGAACTTCGAGTTGCCACTTGGCAGCTTATTATTGACTAAGAGAACGACTAACCATGCTCCATTAAAGTCATGGAAACAATTACCTACGGCATTTATACAACATACCGGCACACATACACTAAATCAATGAAAATTTTAAAAAAAAAATTTTAATTATAATAAAGATATTTCTAATAATCCATTGAGAAAAAAATAAAACACTAATAATATTTTAAAAATTCAAAAAAGCATTTACCTAGCATTTCAATCCAAACGATGGTATTTTTAAATATATTTTTTTAATTGACTTGTATACAGATGGAGTCATACACCAATTATCTATTTACCTAAAGAGTTGAGTGTAAACCGAAAGGAGGCTGAGCTGGCATGTGGGCCATGTTTCTCTGGCACAGACATGTAGGCATGAAGAGGGCACGAAACGTGGCGAGCTGTGATTGGTAAAAACCTAAAATGCCCGCAAAGTTGGAGGGAGAATGTTTAGAATTAGGTTAGGCAAAGGTCGGATAGTTTGAAATTAATAATTGATTAATTGACCATGTATTGGGCTGACTTTGACAGCCATCAACAAAGATATAATCAATTTTTGCTTGTGAGGTGAATTAGTCTTTTTCTTTTTTTTGTTAATTCATGGTTTATTTATTTTCTTTTTGGTTGAAAAATTAATCCATGGTTTAATTTTGATTCTTGGTTCTTAATTACAAGTTTGGGTTTGACTTTAGGTTAAAGAATTACTTTAATTGTCTAATTATTTGTTACCAGAAAAAAAGAATAGTGTTTTGAGAAATGAAGAAATTTTAGTTTTGATGAAGCTCAGTTCAGTTCTGGTGCTGTAGCCAATGGTTTTAGTCATCCTTGACTATTTTCAGTTAAAAAGGAATATTAATTCCAAATGAAGCAGAAACAATGGTTAATTTTGTGTAAAGTGTTAAAACTCTCTTCATTTATGTAATTTGTTTCTTAATTTGTCTATTTTGAATGTTTGAATTCACATGATAGTACAAGTGTCAGCTTTTGATGGTAATAGCATGAAAAATCTATCCAATGTCAGTTTCAATCCACTATCACCCTTTGTTTTCAGTTAAATCATTTTGTATATTTTCTTCACTCTCTGGTTTACATGTGTGTTTCAATTCAATACTGGCACCTAGATGGTATTCATACTTTACTTGAAAAGGATATAAAGAAAAATAACTTTTATGGAAAACATTTTCCTTGAAAAATATTTTTCAAATAACTTATTTTCTTTTGTTTGGTTGTAATATTGAAAATTAGTTAAAAATATTAAACATTTTCCTTGAAAAGAAAACATTTTCCTTGAAAAATATTTTTCAAATAACTTATTTTCTTTTGTTTGGTTGTAATATTGAAAATTAGTTAAAAATATTAAAGTATTTATCTCATAAGACTATAAATAATAATAATAATAGAAATTTTATAATCTAAAAATTATATTCTTAAATACGAAAAGAATGCCAAAAAAAAAAATTGTAAATTATGAAAGCCGTTAGTGGTCAGTGGTAAATGGTGTCTGGAGTAGTAACTATGATAATTAATAAATTAAAAAATATGAATTTATAAGATTTGTCAATATCCAGAAAATACTTTACTCTCTTGAGAATGAGAAGTTGTTTTTTCTTAAAAAATGACTTAATTTTCCTTTGACCAGGAAAATAATTTCCGTTAGACTTATTTTCCTGAATGCCACAAACAACAAACAATTGTGGAAAATATTTTCCTGCAGGTTACCAAACAAGAGAAAATATATTTCCCTGTATATATTTTCGGTGGTAGTTATTTTTTCTTCCTTCAAACAAATACTCTGATTCAAAGGCTTAGGCTGCAAGTTTCAAATATAGATATTATAGTTTTAAAAAAGAGAGTGAATTAAATTGAGGTCATAATTGGTCATTTTGGCAAAATATGAGAGCTAGAAACGGCTGCATCTGAATTGTGATCTTCCATCATGCATTCACACTGCTAGCTGTTTTGATTCATCACCTATTGGGATAATGGAGATTTTTGTTTTTGGAAAACCTCTAATTAATATACTACTATGATGTAACTGAAATTTTAAAAAATAAAAAGCTCTTCTTTCTATTTTCTAAATAATTTCCTATATTTTATATATATAAGATTTTCCTAATAAAGGGTACGTCATGTCTTTATTTCATGCTTGTTATCTGAAACAAAAAAAAAAAAAAAAAAAAAAAGGACAAAAAAAAAAAAAAAAAAAAGGTCTTTAATGCTCTGTTTTGGAATGGTAATGTTAATATATAAATTGCAAATTGGATATTTCTGTATGCAGATGAAACAAACCAATACTGAGAGAGAGTATTGGTTTTTTCTCATCTCTATTGTATTATTTTGTTATTATTATTATTTTTTTTTTGACATAAATATTTCTTATTCAATAAACATAAATCATAAAAATTAAAAAACCAAAAAAAAAAAAAAAAAAAAAAAAAAAAGGTCTTTATGCTCTTTTTGGACATGTAATGTAATATATAAATGCAAATTGGATATTTCTGGTATGCAGATGAAACAACCAATGAAGCTGCACCTAAAAACCTTATTGGTTCTTTCTCATCTCTATTGTATTATTGTTATTATTATTTTTTTTTTTTTGACATAAATATTTCTTATTCATAACATAAATAATAAAAATTAAAAAAACCAATAAATAACCTATTTAAAAGATTTACATGCACATGAAACATATACAAAGATGAGTTGTTTTTGGTCAATTTTTAGCACCATAGAGAAGAGATAGAATAGTTATAATTGCGAGCACTAAAGGTAATAAAAAGGGTAATATATGTATAGAGAGAAAAAATTAAAACAACCTACCAAAGTTGCCTTACATACCACGTTTCTTTCTCACCAGTATTTAGGGCCTTCTGTTCCTCCATAGTGCTTTTTCTCTTAACATCTCTCCAACTTTCAGGTTTACAATTTCTTCTTCTTCTTCTTTTTTTCAATTTTCCTCACTCAATCTTTACCTTTCTTCCTAACTTCTTTTAGCTTTATATTAAGCTTTTCTGTTATCTCTTAGCAGTAGTTCGCTTTCCATTTGAACTCTTTTTTCATGCTTTTTTGTTTTCCTTCAATCTTTATATTAAGGTTCCTTGAATATAGAGAATTAGAGCTGTTTGGTCAATACCCATTTGATATATAGAGCTTGGAAGGATTTGGGTATTCAAATCTCTCTCTCTCTATATAGCCTTTTTTTTTTTTTTCCCTTGTGAACCAATTTGTGAAAAGGTTTTAAAATCAGGGTTTTAGCAATGGAAAACATTTCTGGTCTTATTAAGGAAGATGATCAGATGGATTTGCCACCTGGATTTAGATTCCACCCTACCGATGAAGAGCTAATTTCTCACTATCTTTATAAAAAGGTTCTTGACATCAATTTCTCATCTAGAGCTATTGGAGATGTGGATTTGAACAAGTCTGAACCCTGGGAATTGCCATGTGAGTTCTCTGAAAACAGAGACTTCTTTCTGAACTTTTTCACAGCATTTGTTTATTTATTTATTTTATTTTTTTGTTTGGATGAAGGGAAAGCAAAAATGGGAGAGAAAGAATGGTACTTTTTTTGTGTAAGAGACAGAAAGTACCCAACTGGTTTGAGGACAAACAGAGCTACTGAAGCTGGCTACTGGAAAGCCACAGGAAAAGATAAAGAGATCTACAGAGGAAAATCACTTGTTGGAATGAAAAAGACTCTTGTTTTCTATAAGGGTAGAGCCCCAAAAGGAGAGAAAACTAACTGGGTTATGCATGAATACAGATTAGAGGGTAAATTCTCTGTCCACAACCTGCCCAAAACTGCAAAGGTACATAACTACTCTGTTTCCTCTGTCTTTTGACCCCGTTTTGCTCCGTTTTCTGTCTAATTATGTGAAGCTAATTTTCCCTTTTCTTTTCCTGTTCATCCTTGTTTTATAGAATGAATGGGTCATTTGCAGGGTATTTCAAAAGAGTTCTGGTGGGAAAAAGACCCATATTTCAGGATTAGTGAGATTAGGCTCTTTTGGTAATGAATTGGGTAATTCTGGATTACCACCATTAATGGATTCTTCACCCTACAGTGTCAAGACTAGTAAACCAGTAGCTGAATCGGCTTACGTGCCCTGCTTCTCCAATACCATTGATGTTCAAAGAAACAACCAACAAGAATCCATTGATAGTTTCAACAATAATTATTTTGCTGTTTCTTCAAATCCTTCTGATGTTTTTGCAAGGATTCCAATTCAAAACTCATTCTACTCTGCTCAAAATATTCCAATATCAGGAAATTTGCAATATCCAAGTTCTGGTTTAATGCAAGACCACTCGATTTTAAGGGCCTTAATTGAAAATCAAGGGTCTAACTTGAAACAGATTTTCAAAACAGAAAGGGATCAAATGGTTACTGCCTCACAAGAAACAGGGCTTTCTAATGATATGAACACCGAAATATCTTCTGTCATTTCAAACCTTGAAATGGGTAAGAGGTCATTTGATGATCAAGAAGCTCCTTCTACTTCTGCTTGTCCGGTTGATCTCGATTGTCTTTGGAGTTACTGAAACATAAAAAGAAAAGAAGAAGAAGAAGAAGAAGAAGAGAATTTTAGATAATATTATTATTTTGAAAAAGAAGGTGTGGCTCTGTGTATAGATTTAATTTTTATTGATCCAATGGAAAAATTAAAAAAAAAAAAAAATGAAGCATATAACTATTATTGTTATTACAAGTATTGTAAGAAATTACTACAAGAACAGTTTTTTAACTGTTTTTCAATCTAAATTTGTTTAGGGGTGTGATTTCTATTGGCATAATTATTGTCAAATTGCTTGAATCCAAAATTTGTCACATATGAGATTTAGTTGGTGGCTAACTGATCTTATTCTTTGTACTTTATTTTAAACAATTGTTACAATAAGGTCTATGGATTAATTTGTGCTTACATCATTGGGATTATGATAATTTTTTTATTGTTTCATTTTGGATTTTTGAATATCCGATTGTGGGGACTCTTCTGAATACATATATTTTTTTTTCTTTTGTGCGACTTCCATTGATATCTCATCCATGATTTGCTATCTGCACACACACACACACAAGACAATTATTCAATGCACATATTTGCATATTTCACAGTTGTCTTGAATACTGATATGATTGTGATACCCATTTTCAAGTACTCTCAGGTTTATTTTCAGTGAGAACTCAGGATGCAAATTCTGTCATTTTTCCATATCTCATTTCTTTACAATTTTCTAAATAAAAGAAAAGTTTACATTTTATTTCCTAATTCTGTTTGTATAATGTATGTATCATAATATGAAATTATGATCACTAATTTTATGATTGAATATTTATCTTACGGTGTACAAGCTTAAATAAGGTAATAAGTTAAATTTAATTGTATTATTATTTCTCCTTTACACTCTAACCTAAAATCTATAATGTTAAGTAAAAGAATTCGATAAAAAAATGTCGGCTTGAAGAAAATTATTCATGCAAGCAATAATATAATGACAAATTCTAATATAAAATGAGAGGTGAAAGATCGGTTTTGCCATAAATATTAAAAAAAAATAAATGAAAGAAACAAATTAATTAAATTCCAAGTATACAAAATTGGATACTCTTATCTCATCATCTTCACAAATTTGAAAAATACACTCTTCTGTATGCATAATATATCTATTCTCTTCTTCATTCTTTCTTTCATTTTGTCCATTCATTCATTTCATGATGTAGCATTCCGTTTGGAAGCTGCAATGATGCAACAATATCCTGATTTTTTCCTTCATATTTATTTTGGTTTTTAAGCATGTGGTGTTTCAATTTTTGGCGCATGATAAAATCTGCCAACCATTGAACACAATTTGAGTCCTACACGACTTGAGCCTTAACAACAAATATGAAATATATATAAATAAAATATTAAAAAAAAAGCTTTGTTTTCAGTAAACTTTTCCTGTGTCTAACATGTTCTTGAAAACATTTGTTGGTACATCTTCACTTGGAAGCTGCCCAACCAAGAAAATGCGCCACTCTTTTTCATTTCTCTGATTATTCCTTTCTTTTTTTGGGTGCTCCTATAATCTCCATTACCAAACAACCATCCACTCTCTAATTTATTTTTTTCCACCTTTCCATTTTGTATTATGTGACAAATTTCAATCATTAAACTTTATTATTATTAATTTAAATAGCTGAGTGCATATCTTATAATATGTTGACACTGCCCTTTGTTTTAGCAAATATCTTCAATGTATTAAAAGAATATCCAAAACTTCTGACTTTGTTTAATTATTTACTAAAATGAAATTAATAATTCTTTTAACAAATTAATATCTTCAATCTCTATAAAAATGATAATATAAATTTAATTTTTAGGTCAAAAATTTTTGTGATCTATAGCTCGAGAGGGTTACAAATAATTACTCGTGATGGTTATACCAAAGAAAAGTATCAAGATTATCTTTTCTGAGATTAACCTTGTATTGTCAGTTTTGCAGATATTAAGGTGGTTTACCACCCCCTACTGTGAAATGCAACGAAATTTTGTCCAAGGCAGACATGAAATTCTATCCCTACGACGATTGGACGAAGTTGTGAGATGTGCAGATGTGTCCCCACAAATGATGAGGTCAGGTTCCGGAGAGAGTTAGGCTTTCTAACGGTCGACACGTAATTAACTGGGCCCTACAGGATACAGGCGATTCCCCGCACTAATGAGACACGCGGTTCAGGTTTTGATTGCGTCACAGCTTCCAGCGATCAACAGAAAGAAAAACTTGACTTTCGCGAGCTATAGAACGCCACGTGGCTACTAATCACGTGTGGGCCCACTCCCAGCTGGAACACGCTCACGTGGAAAAGCCAGAAACGGTCTTAAGCAGTTATTCGAGGCTTTCAAGGCTCCAATGATTCTTTTGTTTTCTCGTTAAATAAAAATGTTTTTGAACGAGAAAATACCATATTATTTATTTATTAATTTTCACAAATAAAAAAAAAAGATACGGTATCTATCAACCTTATCAATCATGATGTGACTTCATATTCAGTGATCAATTATTAGTACCCTTGTACTTTCATAAAAATAATCTCTGCATAACCCCTATTTAATTAAATTCTGAAATCACTTTCCATGCTTTGGAATAAATAAAATGTAATATAATATAAATATTATATTTAGTTAATTGTAATAAAATGTAATGTAATGCATTTTACATTTTCAATATAATATTTACATTTGTAGAAATCCCCCATCGAATATAGTATAAAGTGTGTCCCAATTATCGAATTTATATTTACAGCACCTTATTAGTTAGCTTAAAACTATATTTAAACTATAGCGTTCTATGTGTTTTCAAATACTTATCACATTTAAAAAACATTTTTAAATATTTATCACATTAATGAATTTAACAAATAATAAATTATTTTTTCTGTTTTTATCTTTCCTATATGATCAATAATGACCGAATAGTTTCAACTCAAATAATAAATTAAAATTAATATACCAATTCACTCAATAATTTATTTTAATTTAAATAAATTGAATGAATTTCTTAAGCAACGTGAAATGTGACGAGTTTCTAAGGACGGAGGGAATACATTACCGGTGAGTATAGATATTTACATATTTGTTAACAAGACAGAAACATATAGAAATAACAAAACCCACATTCCCTGCCTATTGCCATTTGCTAGCATATTTTACGTTTTCGATTTCTGAATTCTTTCATTAAATATGAACTTGAGTAATATAAGTAAATGCTTTGATAGGGCAGGTTCAACTTCAAGAACCCAATGTAGAAAAAAATCCATATTTAGTTGAATTTTTTGTCAAAAAATGCCAAATTCACAGCCTTTAAAGTCAATAATTAATATACCTTATCTTTTATACTTCAAATATAGTAATTTAGGGAATAATCAAATTTGGGGGCATTAATATTAAATTAAGCTACCTTAAGATAGGGTGTGTTGAGAGTGAAGCTTAATCTTTATTTTACTACTTATATGAATTTTAATTGATCATAACTTACCTAATTTAGGATTAAATTCTTTATCAAGAATGAATTTAAGATGATCATGCAACCTTGCTATTTTTATGTAAAATCTAAAAATTGATTTCATTATCCAAAATATAGTAATTAATTAAATAATTAAACTTATCACTTCATTGCTTATGCAAGTTTTTGAGTGCACGTGCTTGTCTTAGTTGATTCAATTATTTGAAATGTTCTCAAGCACACAGTAAACAAAGCAATTGAATTGTTTTATAAGCAAGTCATGTTTTGCAGAATTTGGGTATTGTCTCATCTACTTTATTTATTCATTTAATGCCAACAATATTTCTTTTTCTTTCTCTTATTCATAGTTTCTTTTTATCAACTGGATTCAAAACTTGGTTCCTGCGATATGCCTTTATCATAATTTTTTAAAAAAATATATAAAAAAATCTTTTTTTTTTTTTTTTTTTTGTTTTGCAGAATTTGGGTATGTGTCTCATGCTAACTTTATTTATTGCATTTAATTGCCAACAATATTTCTGTTTTCTTTCTCTTATTCATGAGTTTTTCCTTTTATCAACTGGAATTCAAAACTTGGGTTCCTGGCGATATGCCTTTATCATAGATTTGTTGTCAAAAAAAATAATATAAAAAATCTTTTTTTTTTTTTTTTTTTTTTATTTCATGTGAGAAGAATTGTTGCATAATCGATTTAGAAAATAAAATTTTATTTTTTTTATTTAGCGGTTAAAAAAAAATATTTATGTGGCTCTAATTAGGTATGTCCTACTGATATTACCAAATATTTTCAGATTTGATCATCTTCTGTGGATTGATTTCCTTTCTTCTATCTTTTATTCACCACTACCAAAGTCAACAAAACAATTGTCGCAATCTAATTATCCTTACAAAGAACAAATTTGCACATTTTAAGTTAATGCATACATGCAAAGGGCAGGTCGCCACATACCCTAAAACCATGTGGAGTTTAAATTTACACGTCTTAATTAATTACACAAGTATATAAATTAATTTCTAATTTAATTATATGCACATTTCTGAATCTAAGTTTATTAGGCTTCACAAAAGTACAATTAGTTTAATTAATTAATATCCCAACAAATACTTTCCCTAAATAATTTCATTTGTAACTGTTATAAATAATCAAAAGGATGTGATAAATTTTAAGTTTTTTTTTTTTTTTTTTTTTTTTTTTTTTTTTTTTTTATATCAGTAAATAAGTTTATAGGCCAAATTAGTCTTTATTCCATTAATATCATATTCTAAAATCAATCATGCTCACACTAGGTTGGTTCTCTAAAGGGTCAAAATACTCTTAACGAGCATTTGCTCTATCCATAAAAATAGAACCCTCGACTTCACTTAATGTAGAAAAGTGTCGAATCACTTCGTTGTTTGTAAGATTTTAGCTAATTTATTCGATTTGTGAGTGCTATGAATAACCATAAAGATGTGATAAAATTCTTGAAAATATCATGGAAGAATATAATGTATTATCAGTGATGAATAATCATAAACATGTCACGATCATAATGAAGGGCATTGTATGTTTATAATGCAATTGCACACGTGTAATGAGATTTAAAGTTGCTTTATTTCTTCTCATCTAATTTCCTACCTTTGTGGTCTATTTGACTCAGATAATTGAAATTGGGCATGCATTGCTTTCTTGTTACAGTAGTAATTAACATCACCTTTAAATTATCCATAATCTTCCATTCTTCTTTTTCTTTTCAACCTTTGAATTTCCCTTCTTTTTTAATAAAATTTAAAATAAATAAATAAATTAAAAACAAGATTGAATCATTGAAAGT